ACATAAATATATAGGGATTTTTTCTTGCTTTACAAATTTTTAATAATTACTTAACTCTTGTGTGCATTGGGGTCAGCCTATTTTTATACTTCGGAAAAACTTGTAAGCAAGAGAAATAAATTAAACTAAATAAGATAAAATAAAATAAAATCAAATCAAATAAAATAAAAAAAAAAAANTAATATAAAATAAAATAAGATAAAATGAAAGGATATAAAACAAAAAATCTAAAAATATGTATACAAAATTTAAAATAAAATAAAGTAAAATATAATAAAATCAAAAAGTAAAGAGAAAATAAAAACGCATTAAAAGTAATTAAAATAAGTAACTAAATAAAAGCATATAAAATAAACAAATAAAAAACTGAAATAAAAAATAAATGAAAAGAAACTAAAAAAGAGCATTAATAAAAAAATAATTTAATTAAACAAAATATAATTAAAATAGAATAAAAAATAAAATCAAATAATTATAATGGGATGAAGTATAGAATAAAAACGAAATAATAGAATCAAATTAAATAAAGAATAATAAAAATTCAAAAAAATACAAAAAATAAATAAATAAAAATAAAAATAAAAAAAAACAAAAATTAAAAATAAATAAAAGAATAAAAAAATATTAAAAATGAAATAAACAATCAAAAGTAAAATAAATTTAGATGAGCAGAATATAAGAATGGTGTATATTGAAATAAAATAAAGTAAAATAAAAACAGTATATAATAAAAAAGAATAAGCAAAAGTCACGAAAAGAACTAAACCAAATAGGTATTATTCGTTTACCCGTTAAAAATTCCAGTTATTTGGCATTTATTTAATATATAAAAATCAACCCAATAACATTGTATCTACTTTTTTTTTGATGTAGGACAGATTTGAAAAGTTACCGCTAAAAGAAATTTTTCAACAAAATTTATTACTGATTCATTCTTTGTTTGGGCATTCATTTTCCAGCAAAAATTTTAGTGTCTTTTTAAAAAAGATTAAATATTTTAAATTTTTGGTTCAGTGTTGTTTGAAAACAAATAATATAAACAATGTATAATAATAAATAATAATTTGCAAATGAAAAAAAAAATAATTTAACTTTAATTCGCTTAGATAGATAAGCAGCAAACTTTTCGATTATCTGTTAAAATATCTTCGGAATACAATACATATTTTAATCAATTACTTTGTGTTCAATTATTGTTAAATTGCTAAACACTGTACAAAGGTTAAACTGATAGGGATTATATTTATGGGGGAGTTAAAAAGAACTGCTCGTAAAAGAAATTCGTTTTTATTTGTATTTCTTGTTTTGATGAAAACATTGCTTAGATTAAGAGCAGTAGGCAATATTTGTTTATTTATTTAGATTTTTCTTACTTTTGTTTCTATTATTATTATTATGAATGAAAGTCCGAAATTGTTGAGTTTAAAAACCAGCTCTCATATTTTGTTCCATTTGTTTTTAAAATACTAAACAAATTATTATTTTTTGCCACAAGTTCTTTCTTCAAAAGCTATAAATTTATTTTATTAACAATGGACGACTGGCAACCATTGTGTACCGTCCTTTGGAAGACCAGCGTTCGAGTCCAACATTCGAAATTATAGAGAATTTATTTAAGTAAAAAATTAAGCTAAATTTTGTAATTACGCTCGTTGCTAGGCAAAGAAAACCGATCACTCCGAGTGTATTTCTGACATGAATTTTGAAGCTCCTTAAAGGCTTTTATTTTTGTTCAAATAAGCAAGATATGTCCTAAAATTAAATTGAAAACCTTACGAGAATTGCATGCATGCGAGGGGATTAACAAAAGTGAGGTAAGTTGACCAGGAAAAAAAACTTTTTGTATTTATTCGTAATTTTTGTCCTTTTTATCTTCTCTACGTAATCGCCAATCTTCAAAATCTTTCTTTTTAAACTTATCAAGCTCAGCATTAACCGCATTAATTATCTCCTCGTTGTTATTAAAAACCTTTGCTTTTAATTTTTTAAAATTTTTGGAAATAACCAGAAATCACAAGGTGCTGTATCCGGAGAATATTGTGCTGGACGTATTTTTTTGATCCCAGAAATCGCTATAAAATTACTCGTAATTTCAGCAGTGTGCGCTGGCGCGTTGTCATGATGTAAAAAGTAGCGCCGCAAATCATCTTTCTTCCTGTTTTTTGAAAACTTTTGGTAAGCACTCTTCGGTATACCATTTTGCAGTTACCGTCTAACCCTTTTGTAGTGGAAAAGCAGCTACGATTTTTGATCGTGTGAACGAAACTGATATCATTGCTTTTGCTGCTAAATTTCTTTTCCTTCGATTTTACGTGTGGGTTTGCGCCTGTTGGGCTCCATACCATGGACTGCTGTTTGGTTTCTAGATTGTACTTATAGAACCAAGATTCGTAACCAGTTACGACCTTTACTAAAGTTGGTAAACTGACCATTTGTTTAGGAAAAATTGAGCAAAATGCACTCGATCTTCTTTTTAGGACTCATTTTAAGTTCGTAGTACGCATCGAGCAGATTTCTTCGTGTATCTCAGCTGATTACTTAAAATTCGCAATACAGCCATGACATTCAAGCCCAATTCATAAGCAAACATTTCTAGCGTCAATCGTGGGTCTTCGTCAATTTTGGACTCCACTAGAGCCACAGTGACGTCATCGGAGGAAGATTTTGGTCGTCCCTCTCGGAGCTCGTTCTCTATAGAAAAAAGTCCGGTCTGGAAACTTTGGAACCAATTAGAAATACACTTTAAAGACTGTGCAATCGTTCCATATGCAATTTGGCTTTCACTGAATATTTGTATTGGCTGTAAATAACGGCGAAACCCGAAGAGAATTACCTGGCGGATTTCTGTTTGCGTTGGTGGTGGAATTTAATCTGACCTATCCCCAGCTATCTTGCGTTTTCTCGTCTTCATTACAGCCGATCGTTCTAAAATTTGAAAGGAAGACTAATAAAGTAACTGCAAAGGATTTAGTTTTTTATGAGTTTGCAAAAACAAATTGAAAGTCACCAACTGACCGAACTCTTGTTAATTTCCTCGTATATAATACGCATGACTTTTGTATTAATTTATGTTAAAATCACCAACTACATACGTACAATATGTACATATGTTTATAGCATACATGCTTATCTTTCGCTTTCTTCTCCTTACATTTCACTAGTCATTTGTGCGTCATAAGTCTAATCTTCTGGCATACATACATACATACAATTCGTAGTTATGTATGTACGTGTTAATTTGTTATTCAAAACAAACAAATCTGTCACTCTAATGAGTGCATTCTACTAAGACCTCGACCTTCACAGATGTGGAACAATTTCGCGCACTTATTTTGTTTCACTATCCTTTGCCTCACTTATATGTACGTATGTATGTATGAAAATTATGCTTTCGGAAGCTATTCGAAACAGTTTTATTTTTGTGATCTCTATTTTTGCATCTAATGTGCAAAAGATGAAGAAAAATAAAACTAAATAAATATCCCACATATAAGTATAAAGAATGAATGAGTAATTAACCAATCTAAAGTATTTTCCGTTATGTGCGTTCAAAATCCGCCAATTGAATAATAAGACCTCGAATTGCCTGGGGAGATAAATAGTTGTATACCTTTTGGAAGCAATCATTTATCTACCGATAATTTTGCTTTATTTATTGGTTTAGTCGGACGAAGTTCACAGCTCAGAATGCAAAAAAGGTTTCTTGATAAAGTTGTGAGAAACGCAACTTATTGATTTCGAATTACTTCTCAAAATAAAAAAAATTTCCAAATATAATTTCTAGAGCATACACACGTAGCAGAAAAAATTGTCCTGCGTATGATCATTACCTTATTATGGTCCTTAATTAGAGGCATAACTGCCCGTAGCACATTAGATGGATACTCGGCACAACAACACAGCAACAGAAATCCTGGAATCCTCTTCACGAGAAAGATATTAGTGGTAGCCTCGCTGGAATGCCCAGAGCAGGGCTCCGAAGCTTGTTGAGGCTCAAATACTTTAAAAACCATAGATTTATTGGGATACTGTTCACAATAGATGGGATCCGTTTCATTTAGAAAATCGTATGGATTAGCTGATGTGCACTTTATCTCCATAGTATTTAAATTTTGTCCATAGTTTTAGCTGATTTCAACTGATGCTCTCTCGCAATAACTAATTCCGCACACCTTCCGATTTTTAGGGAAACATGACGGACGCAATAGCCGATTGGTTAGCATTAAGTACTACCATTCGGAAGGCCAGTGTTCGTATGTTGGTATGTGCAACTTTCAGCACTGGGAATGTCAAACCCTTTGAGTGTATTTTGGATATTTCATTTCCTCTCTTCATGAAATGAATGTTAGATAACCCGCCGACAATGTTTCATATGGTTCGGAGTTGAAGTAATCATATTGATTGAGTACTACCATTCGGAAGGCCTGGGTTCCAATTCTGTTGTCGTACTAAAATCCAAAAGGTTATAGAACATTAATTCAAATAAAAAATTAAGTTAAAATTTCTAATGAGAATGTCCGGGGTGTCCGGGCCGAGTGTATTTATGTGAAATAAAAGCTGCTCATAAAAAAATCATCAGCCGTTCGGAGGTGGCTTAGTATACACTGTAGGTCCCTCCGTTTGTTGGAAAAACATCAAGACGCAAAACCTCAAATTGGAGGAGGAGCTCGGCCGAAAATCGCTTCAGCGGTTACAACCACCTTCAAATAGCACGACGTTCACAGGCGACAAATATTAGAAAAACCCATTGTGCGCCTCTATTTCTTTTAAAAATGGTATCGTCATTTATGTCTGACAAATTGAAATTGTGCATTAATTATTATATTTGGCATATTTGTATCCAATCAAGAAGCTCTACAAATGCTGCTCAATTTTTTGTTTTTTTTTTTTTGTTTTTTTTTAATTAACTTATGGACCAATTTTGATTAACAACTGCGAATATTTTATTCAGTATTAATTAAACTATTAATGAATATGGTAAATTTTCATTTCAGTCTGCAATGAGCCGTCTCCTCGAGAAGCCTAGCATTGCGATGTCTCTCAAGTCGTCGTCGTCGTCGTCGCCATCGTCAGGTAGTCAATTGTCCTCAAGTGCAGCAGTTGTTGGCAATGCCACCAGCTTGGGTGCCAGTGCTAGTGAAACTGCTGCGTCGCAGAGCCAAACAGAACTGAGCGCAGATCACCGAGCTGTGGTGACTAGTTTGGGTAAAAATCAGAATGGTAAGAAAAATTTTGGTAAACCTATTAACACATATATACATACATACATACAATACACACATTGTTATATCTGAAAAAAAAATGTGTAAAATCTCATCGTTTGCGTCCATTTGCAGGCCACACTATTTTCGATGAAGTTTTTATAAGCTTGATTTCGGGTTCAGCTGCTGGAGCTTTAGCGAAAACCACTATTGCGCCCCTGGATCGAACGAAAATAAATTTCCAAATCAGGTAGAACTTAAATTTGTTATAACAAATGTAAAAATTTAAACAAACTTGAATTTTTCCTTTTGTTTCTACAGTAAAAATGTTCCATACTCATTCAAAGCAGCTCTTAATTTTCTAAGAAATACCTACGAAAAGGAAGGTATCCTGGCGTTATGGCGCGGCAATTCGGCGACCATGGCACGCATTGTACCTTATGCAGCCATACAATTCACAGCGCACGAGCAATGGCGTAAAATACTGCAAGTGGATAAGGATGGTTCCGAGTAAGTTTGTTATATATTTACACATATTTCACAATATTTTCAATTAATTTCTTTGTCATCATTTTTAACAGCACAAAAGGCAGACGTTTTATAGCGGGTTCATTGGCTGGCATAACTTCTCAATCTCTGACATATCCACTGGATTTGGCACGAGCGCGAATGGCTGTTACCGACAAATATACTGGTTATAAGTACGTAAAGTCATCATAACTAACAAGTAAACAAATTTTCAACCTTGTTGACTTAAATTGGAAAGTTTACCCAGAAATAGTTTCGTGAAGTTCAAATGTGATCATGAAAAAACCATTCGACTAAACTTGAAAAGAAAATTTTTGCTACAAATCATTTTTGTTAATTTCTTTAATCATGAATTTTTACTCGTATTCAACACCTTAGTCAATGGAATTTCGCTGCTTTTACTTACACTTAATTATTTCCTTACTTTACTATAACTTTCATTACAGAACGCTACGGCAAGTGTTTGTTAAAATTTGGGTGGAGGAAGGACCACGCACGCTGTATCGAGGTTATTTTGCTACCGTATTGGGCGTGATACCATATGCGGGTGTTTCCTTCTTTACATATGGCACCCTCAAACGTGAATATTATGGTGAGTGAAATGTCATTTAAACATCTATTTTTTAAATATTTTTGTTATTTGAGGAAAAGCATGGGTATTTGGTTGCCGCCCGCATTGGCGGTGAATTGGTCTCACTACTGAAAGCAGGGCAATCAGTCAAAAAAAAGAAGTAGGAAACCTTGCATTTGCATCCGCAAAGTGCACAGTATCGTCATAGCATTAAATGCCACCCAACCGAAACCGATCCTTCGCTCGAATTACCTTGGGAGCACTGGATTTGTCGAACACCTTCAAACAGTTAATCACGTTGTTCTACTGTCAGATACAGCGAATCTCTGCTGTTGTTGTTTTATTTATAAAAATATTCCACAAAAGAGTTTTTAGAAATGTTGCGGGAGTGATAGTCCTTGACTGAATAAATATTCACCTAATCAGAGCTCAGGAGATGGTTAATACATTTTCTGAGTGGTTGACAATCATCTCCCACAAAATCCAGTCAATAAGCCAAAGTTATAGAATGTGACATTCGAATTTAACTTTATATATTATATATTCAAGTCATTAACCTTTGAATGTAGCCAGCATCACTTGTGGGAAGTTTAAGATGCATAAAAATAATTCCAGATGTAGGTAGGGAGGGGTTAATTTCCTATAGTTTTTACTGGTGTTCTGGTGTTAACTTTTTAACGGATGATAAATCTGGGCGAGTCCACTCCCTTTCGAACCACATGGCAATCTGGTTTTCTAGTTTTTATCTGTTTTAATTAACAGTTTTTTTTTTACTATCACAACATTGAATTATTTATTAGTGACATGCCAGATTTAAGAATTCCTTATGTTACATGTTTGTATATTTACAGAGGTAACAGGAAACGCGAAACCAAATACTCTAGTCACACTTGCATTTGGTGCTGTTGCTGGTGCAGCAGGTCAAACTTCTAGCTATCCGCTTGACATTGTGCGTCGGCGCATGCAAACAATGGGTGTCAATAAAGGCGCTAACAATCAATATCGCACCATATACTCAACCTTGAAGAAAATTTATAAGTAAGTTTGATAGCATATCGCAAGCGTTATATTTGCTATCTATTTATTGTGTTTTTATTGTCGCTTATAGGGAAGAAGGTATCAAAAATGGATTCTACAAAGGACTTAGCATGAACTGGATTAAAGGTCCTATAGCTGTTGGTATCAGCTTCTCTGCCTACGATTTAATTAAAGAGCTGCTCAGAGAGTTATTCCATTTGAAGCGTGGGCGATACGATGCATAAATTATTCGTTTCTTTTATATTTTATTTAGATTATTCTATATTATATTATATATATTTTATGTTAATTTTTTTTTTATTGGAAAATATGCTAAACGGCGGTATACTGAATGACAAGAATTCATGACCAAAAATTAAAAATTAATTATGCACTGTATACATTAATGTTAACAATGCGAAACGTTCAATTAATATATGTACACTTATACATACATAAATTCAAAATACTGAATATTTTGGTATGCAAGAATTTCTGCGTTCTAGTAGCAGTTTTAGAGCAATTTGCCATTTACACGTCCTTTAGATAATATTAAACCGTATCCGATTTAGATTCGAATTTGTTGAGAGCCAAGTTTTGTTCCTTTTAAATGTGTTATTATGTATATAAAATGTAATTGTAATATTAAATACGATTATTATTTAATTAATTACTATGATAAGCACAATGCGACAATAAATCTTAACTGATTTTTTTTTTGGTATGTCATATAATATATACATAATTAAAAAGCAAATACATACTTACATATGTGTTTAAGACTACTGGTTGCATACGTATGCACTTGTTTGTGTGCAAATAGTTGCTAAGTAAGTATAAGGAGTTCGGTTCTAACTTTTCGAGAAAGTCTGTATTGTGTAATATTTGAGTTAATAAATATATACATACATACATATATACTAAATGATATCTTTATCTACGTTGTACAAGAAAACATTTAAATATGCTTTTACTCCCACACATACGATTACTTACATACTAAAGGATTGATGATTATTGGAATTTTCATGGACTATTTGCGAACATTACTTTTGTAAAATATACAAAGTTTAATAAATAAAAATAAATGACCGAAATTTTTGAAGCTTTGTGCGGTTTTCATTGATTTGTGGGGAATAACTATTTATTTTCCAGTTCAATTTGGTATTGATATCAAACCCAGGGAACAGAGAAATTGTTGTGCCGCTGAGGGAGGGAAGATGACATGAAGGTCGTTTATGCCTCCATGTGGCGGAGAGTCAATTATTGCACTTATCTTTATATTGTCGAAGGTTCCCTCTATGGCAAGAAAAGCTGGCATTGTGTATTGTTCGTGATGTACTGATTCCATTACAATATATCACCTCATGTAGAGCCGTTTGCGTCGATCGACCATTCATGTATGCATGTTAGTTCATCGTTATGCTATCTGCTATGATTGATGCGATGTGTGTGTCCACTTGTCTTTTACTTACTTACTATACAGGCGTAGCCGAATGTATAACATTGCCCCATTCATTCTTTTTTCTCGCTGATTGGCATAAATTGGAGATACCAAGTAGAGCCAGGTAACACTCTACCTGGTATTACTAAAGGAGTGGAGGTCCTCTTCTGCTCCCACCTGCTCTTCACCGGTACTTGATTCGCTGAACTATGTCAATGTCGCCCTATATCTGCATAAGTTACTTGCAGAGTTTGGTTTTCGTTCGTCGTGAGAGTACTTTACTTCTCAATTGAATACTCAGTCCGAAGTAGCACGTGTTGGCAAGAGTGATTCTGCGTTGGATTACAAGCCTGACATTTTTATCGGTGTGGCGAGAACAATACCCACGGTGTGCAATAGTTGAAGCCAATAATGTCAATATCATCAGCGTACGCAGCTGAATGCTTTTATAGAAGATTGTACCTTCTCTGTTCGGTTCTGCTGCTCTTATTTTTCCCTCTACCAATAAATCAAATAATTCACACGATAAGGAATCACCCTGTCTGAAACCTCGTTTGGTGTTAAGCGGCTCGGAAAGGTCCCTTCCGATCCTTACGGAGCTTTTAGTGTTGCTTAACGTCAGTTTACATAACCGTAGAAGTTTTGCGGGGATACTATATTCAATCATAACGTCATAGAGGTAGCTCCTATTCGTGCTGTCGAAGGCAGCTTTAAAATCGACGAAGATATGGTGTGTGTCGATCCTCTTTTCACGGGTATTTTCTAAGATTTGGCGCTTAGTGAATATCTGGTCAATGGCTGACTCACCAGGTCTAAAGCCACACTGATAAGGTCTATCAGTTTTTTGACGGTGGACTTCAGTCTTTCACGCAATATGCTTGATGCGATATTAAGGGGGCTTATTCCACGGTAATTGGCGCAATCTGTGGGTTCGCCCCTTTTGTGGATCAGCCACGCACACTTAGGTTCCAATCGTTGATCATGCTTTCATCCGACCATATTTTACAAAGCTGATTCATGCACCTTGTCAACACTGCACAGCCACGTTTGAGTAGCTCTGTCGGTAGGCCGTCAGCTCCAGCCACTATGTTGTTCTTTACGCGGCCGACTGCTGTTAGGACTTTTTCATAGTCAGGTAACGGAACAACTTTTCCATCGTCATCGATTAAGGTTTCGGGCTCAGCATCTCCTGGTGTTTCATTTTCAGTGCCATTCAGCATGTTGAGGAAATGTTCCTTCCGTAAATTCAAGATACTCTGGGCATCGGTTGCTTTGTGTTCCATAGGAGTGAGCAACTACTACTACTATGAAGAGCTAACATACTCCCGCATCTCGACCTTTTTCTTTTTTTTTGTCGAATCTCTGTTTAAAAATTCCTCGCAGAGATCTGTGCTCAACTTTATCACTTGATAGCTATGCGTCCGGAATCACAATCTGAAAGCATGAGACGAAGGTTGAGGTAGTCATACAGTTTGGAAGACTACATCACAAAGTTTATAAACTCTACCCTTTTTTTTTTGTTGAAGTTATTGGCCAACCTTTAAACTACCCACCACACCAGTGGAATACTTCCCAGAGATCCGTCATGATAAAGACATGGATCTGCCGAAGTGTAAGAGCGAGTGTTCGCATAAAGAGCGCGGCTTAGCTTGAAGTTTTTCTTTAGCTTGGGAAAACCCTCAACCATTAAGCACATGACTACAACATCTTAACAACGAAGTTCAGGACAAGCCTGTAGGTCGCCAAACCTTCCAAACGGAGACAGCAGGATTAGGTTGTTCAACGGTCTCAGAAGAGTTCTCAGCTTATGCGACATCTGATATGGGTTGATCAGTCTGTTCGGGGTGGACTTATTCTTTCACATAACTGACCAGAGAGAACCTTATCTCCGATATTAGTAGAATCATCCAACGATAATCAGTGCCCTTTTTGTGGATTGAACAGATCACACTCTGGTACTAGTCCTCGGTAATACTCCCGATCGATCATATATTGTTTGGAAACTGATGCATGTCCTTTATCGGCAATGTATTTGAATAGCTCAGCTGATAAGCCATCGGCACTTCTTACTTGTTTGACACAGTCTTAACCACATACAATCTTCTTTAGTTATTCTTACTCATTAATTTCAACCTATGTGGTTTCATGAATTTTCTTGTTTAGAGTTCTTCTTTGTCCACTCACAATTGCATTCCTATCGGTCGAAGAAGACGTGTTTGAAAGAAAGCCGTTCGAATAGTTCAAGAAAGCATTAGTATCAACATTTGAAGTCTCTTTTAGTCCTAAAATCCCTCACATGTCTTCTTCTCTGCAACTTCTACATAAGCCACTTAACTGCCTATTCTGCTTGTGTGGGGTGCCATTAGATTGTGTCCCGTCAATAGGACTAACTGTACTGCAGTCTTCACACGATATATAGCCGTTTACCCATTGCTGGCTTGTGTCTTGATATTTTTCCAACAAATGGGATCTAAAGATTATACGAGGAGCCTTTATTTCATGTCCGAATTACACTCGGAGGGGTGGACATTCCCTGCCGGGGGGGGACTACAATTAGAAAATTTAAGTTAATTTTTTATTTAAAATAATTTTCCCGATCCATTCGAATGTCAGTATACAATTCTAACTACTCACCTACACCGCGGCCACCATCCTCGTACGAGTATATTATATTGATATTTTGTATATAGTTTTCTGTGTTACTGGTTATCTCATTAGCTTTTTCAATGGCGGCAGCATCCGCCTGGAAAATACAGCAGCACTCTGGATGCTTGAAGAGCAATAGATTCTGGTGCCCACTCCATCTGCCACTTTTGAGCCATCTGTCTAGATATTGTATATTCCGCTGTCGCCATCCGCCCCTAGCTTGTAACCCTGAGATTTTGTTAAAAGCGGTCCATCACACTAGAACGCCGTAGAGTAATATTATTTTAATTATCGTTGTGTAACACCAATGCATCCTGAGATAAGCCCGTTGTGCGTTAAAGGGCACATTTTAACTAATGATTTGGTTATGACCGAGCCTGGAAGGATTACCTATTTCTTCGGAAATATTCTCTGTTCCATGCTTAAAAAGTGATGATATTTCGCGTCCAATGCAAAGAGCGTCCTGGCCAAATAAACAGGTTTGAAGATGAGGTATCGGATCAAAATCCGCGCTAAACGCAAACATTTAGCTTCCACATCAAATTTACTCCTAGGCACCTGGTGTAATCCTTTATTGAAAGTTACACTCCGTTGAGTCTCGGTGGTTTCCACAAAAGGAATTTTGTACCTTCTTGTGAACAGTACGAAACGGATGTCAGCCCATCGATGCTGGACCTTTGAGCGATTTCCAAACTTATAGCTTTGTCCTGCTTAATATTTGGTTGTATCTGAATTTAATTTGTAGTTCTATAACGGTAATATTATACGAATTCTGGAGAAGAGACAAAGCAGCCTTCTAAAGAGCAACAACAAGCCAGTAGCTCATACGTACTAATGGGATCTATGTTTAAGTTTAGTTTAGGATTTTATTATTGTACTAATTGTCAGGCTTCCGGTGTCGAAGCAGATTCAATAATTAAATACTAATGTTAATGTTAAAAAAGAAACCAAGAAATATGTATTGCATACGAGTATGTTGATTCATTCATAAACTTATTAAAGGTGAATTTTTTTTTACAGGACCCAGAGTGTGTATAATTTTCTATTGAGCAAGGCTTAGAGATTCCTGAGTCGCTTTCGTTTAATTGCTTTTATCAACTGCAATTCAATGCAACTCTGTAATATTAGTTCTGCTGTTACTCATACATAAAATTATTCTTTAATTACGCAAGAATAAAGTATTATAGATTGCGCCTTTAGATTTTGTTGTTGTTTGTTTATACGTCATAATTTTCATGTTGTTTTGTTGGAGTGTAGATTTGTTCACATTTCAAAAAAAAAAAAGTATGCGCTGCCTATATTTTAATAGAAAAAATTAAAATAATGGAATTTCCGAACAATTGAAAAAAATAAAAACAAAATTTAGTAATTTTTCTTTGTTTGTTTTTGATTTTTTTTTGTGAATTAAAAGAATAAAAAAATTTAATTTTATTCAATAAAAATTAAACACGTTTTTTAATATTTCTTATTTTAGTTTATCCTTAAATTTGTGCAAACGTTCATGTTTTAAAGAATATTTTCTTAATTTTAAATTACAATTTATATGGAATGTTTTATTAATCAAGTTTTTTTTATAAACTTATTAACACAGATCCGCTATTATATAAAATAATTGGCGCTTTGTCACCGCTGAAGCGCTTTTACCGTCGAGTTTCTCCTCCAATATGTGGTTTTGCATCTTGATGTTTTTCCAACTGAGGGACCTACAATTTATGCTAAGCCGCTCCGAACGGCTGATGGTTTTTTTAGGAGAAGCTTTATTTCATGTAAGAAAACCACTCGGAGGGGTTGACATTTCCTGCCGAGGGGCGACCGCAAGTAGAAAATTTAACTTAATAATTTTTCACTTAAATTAATTTTCTATAACTTTTGAATGTTGGTCGCACGGGGATTTGAACCCGAGCCTACCGAATGGCAGTACGCAATACTAATCACTCGGCTACCGCGGCCATTATTAGTGGACAAAAAAAATTGTCTCGAGTTGAGTCATGTTCTACATCATCTCATCACTTCGCAGTGTTAATCTACCTAAACTCAATTGAATAGTCCATGAAAAAGATTGATTGTCGTGAGTTTTGGTAGACTTGCTGGAAATCTCATCACGCTGGCTACATTTCCTACGCCATTTTGTTCTAAGTCCCCCACCTCACTTCGCTCTGCTTCACCTTCTGTTCCAAAATTTTCGTCATATCGCACATGCTTCTATAAAAAGATATAAAAGTGTATGAGTAAAATTTATTAAATTCAGAAATCGCGCAAAGACCTATAAGTATTGGGTGATCAACCCTCAAGTCAGGGATATCGACAACTTGGAAGCTAACTTCTTAGCCCATATTTGAACTCTCCCCATAATTCCAAAGAAATTCAAATACATCCTAGATTATAGTTAATATTGTAATTTTTTTATGCTTTGAAGGTGGGATCTTGAATCAATAAAAGGCGCTCGGATGCTAGTTATTACCATGTTGAACAAACAAAGGAACACTCTTGCATTTGCGCACCAAATTTGGATCACCCGGAAACGTAAATACACAACATCCATCCACAACAGAAATACTGGAGGCATGGTTATCTTATAAATACATATATGAATCGTTAATTCGCTTGCTTGCTAGGTATTATAAAGAATGAATCGAAAGTGTGATGAAAGCAAAGAAACAGCTGATTGTCCAATTTTATAACGATGAATTACGAAACATTAAAAGGCGCAATCTTAGAGCTTTATCATTCTTAACTCGAACAGACTTTCTGTGCTGCCGGTTGAATAGCGTTGGCAGTGACTTTTGTTCATTCATCGGGTGAAGTACGTAATAAAATATTTGTATAGAATACTTGTTGAAAATAATAATAAATATTATTTTTTGGACATTTAAAATAAGGATAATATTTTGTGAGGCTGCCACAGGAGTAAGTGTGCCATGAAAAAAAAATTAATGCCGTAAAACAAGATTTGAATCTTGAAAATTCAAAATTATTCAATTGTAATATAAGCGTGTATGTTATGTTATGTATATATGGATGCATATAAATTTCTATGAATGCAGAAGCAGAATAAAATTTCCTTATACTCACACATGTACATATGTAATGAAGTTATCTACTAATAAAAAGCTAATAAATGTAATTATTTCATTTACTACAAAAATAAAAATAGAGTAAAAACTTAAGAAATTTTTTCGAAAAAGCGATTTTTATAAAACAAACTTACCGCACTTTCTATAACAATAGACACATATATAGATATATGTGTAGGGAGGCTATGCACCGCGATCAGTGGGCTATTGTGTCCTTCGATTCGTTCAAATTATTTCACAAAGTCCTAGTGCTCTTATAAAACCGGCCTAACTCTATAACTTTCTTTTTTCTAATAAAAACTGAGTTTTATAATTTTTTATAAATAATGCGGGAGCTATTTATGAGGTTTGTTTGTTGAGCCGCTATGCTGGCGTAAAGTAAGCTACCTTTATTTCAAAAAATTGTGTTTCGTGAAAACTTTTTTGCTCCACATTTTGTTGCAGGAGTTTGCTCTACGTAAAAATAAAGTAACTTCGAACATAATTTTCTGCTTTGACTTTTTTTTGTAAAGTAATTTTGAGCAAGCAGTAAGATCTTTTTTTGGCAGACTGGAATATTCTCGGGTACAGCAAACAACTAAAATATACGTTACAATAAAAACTATAAATTTTATTAAAAAATATATGAAGAAAAATCTAAAAGATTTTTTAATTCGTTTACAATAGAAATGTTAAGCAATCCTGGTCGGACCAGGACTCGCACGCACTTCACTGCCGGTGACTATACTCCTTTGCATTATGGTGTTTTTATTTTTGTTTAATAGTCAATAGGAATATATTTTTATAAATTTAGATGAGTTTTTTACACCATCCCAATAACCATAGTTAAATCACAATTCATTATTTATAAGTTATGATATTAGTTGATAGAAGTAAATGAGCAAGACGCCCGCAAAGGTATTGTATGTTTGTGCATATGTATGTTGGCATTACACATTACATGTCACAACCACAAGTGCAGTCATTTTTCCCGAGAATTTCGCAAGAAATTTACGTTTGTTTTTATTTTGTTTTGTTGTTAGTTTTCATACATTTAAACGGCTTTATGACGTTTCATTTTACATTACACATTTTTGTAGTATTTGCTGTTCCACAGGTCTACGAGCTGTTGTATGTTATGCATGGACGGGTATTAAAATTATTGTGTGGGGTGAGTGTGTTAGTAATCGGACAGTTATAAGGCTTTTAAAAAGATATGGGAAAAGTAAATAAATTTTTTTCTTTTAATGAAGAATCACTACTATCAATAAAAATTAGTTTGATAGTGTTCAGTTTTATTGGTAATTTATGTATAATCAATTCGGAATACATATTTTGTTAAAAAAATGCTGCCCGTTTGATGCAATAAAAATTAAGCAATATTTAATTTAATTTTTTTTAAATAAGTAATAAATATACTCGCGGGAGAAAAGAGTAACTAATAAAAAGTTCCTCGGCGGCATAGCATTACGGATGGCCCGGATTCAAGACCTGGTGTGACCAACATCCAAAAGTTAAAGAAAATTTCAGAGGCGGCTTAGTAGAAGCTGAAGGTTCCTCCAGTTGTTGTAAAGACTTTAAGACGCGAAACCACAAATCGGAGGAAGAGAACGCCCGCAAATCGCTTCAGCGGTTATAAAGCGTCAATTATATATATTTTATATAATTCAAAATACCTCAACTATTTAACAGAGGTTAACAAAATATTTGTATATCCGTATATCCGTACTGCAACAGTCTTAGATAGATAGCACACAAGTAATATTGGAGGTTTTACGCACTATTTTAGGCATCAGGAGAAAGTAAGAAACTACCACCTACCTCTCCTATTGCTAAAGGCAGTGAGGATCTACTTTCCCTTCCGCCTTTATGGATTCTGATTTTGATGTGGATCTACTATCTCTCTGGAAATATAGTTGTTAGGACTTAACTCAACCTTTTGGGACCCATACGAAGACGGACGCTTGCATGCAATCAAAATGGCTTTCAGGGAGAATAGGTCTCTCCCTGGTCCACTTCTCGGAGAGAAGTGTAATCTTCCTGTTAACTTAAGCAAAGAGCCACCTATGGACCGAATTTCAAGTGGATCCAGCAATAGATAAAATTTTTCGAATACGTCAGTCCCTGGTCTACTTACCGGAGAGAAGTGTAGACTTCCTGTTAATCAAAGCAAAAAGCCACCTATGTACCGAATTTCAAGTAAATGCCGCTATAAATAACTTGTTTTAGAATAAATGAGTTCCTGGCCCACTCCCCGGAGAGAAGTATATTCTTCCTGTTAATCTAAGCAAAAAGCCAGCTGTGTACCGAATTTCAAGTGAATCCAGGTATGACTAAATTTTGTCGAGCGAACCTCAGCGATAACTCAGAGCACGTGAGAGTTTCACTGTTTATTTATTGTTGGAAAGTATAGTAATTCATGAATTTATTTATTTTTAAGAATTTTTTTTTTATTTTCAATAAAAATGACTGTTAAATGTTTATTTACTTATTGGAAAAATTAATTAATTAGTTTAAATTTGACATCTTTATTTTTAGTAAAATTATTAAATAAAGTATAAAATAAGTTTAATGTAATTGTTGACATATGCAATTTCCGGTTATTGTAATTCCCAACACCAACTAAGCCCAACTCCGCTCTAAATAAATATAATCGCTTGGGAGTAGTGATAACCAGACTTTCTTTCTTGCTGAAAAGTTCTGTCACTATCTGAAAGAGCTGAGTTTATTAGATATTTTTAGCCAGATGACCCTTGTGTGCTTGAGGCATTTACCCATTTCTTCAGATTTACATTTTATAAATAGATTACAATTATCTGTTGTTGCAAATTAAATTGAAATAAAAAAATAATGAAAGTGAAAAAAGATTCTCCCTGAAATGGTATTTTTTTTATTTAATTAAAAATAATTAAGCCGATAAGGTCTGTCAGAAAATCAAATAAAAAATATAAGAATATTTTGCTCATGAATATATTATACACCCTTATGGAAAAGAAAAACCAACTGTAGGAACCATACACTTAAGCGGCTACGAGCTTTTACTCTAAAAATAAATCACATTCAACATGTGAAGGTTAATAATTCAACAACGTTTGCTGCTAAAGCCATACCAGTGCCAGACTCTTTGCTGACACACATTTAATAGATAAGAATGGAGTTGGTGGAAGTTTTTTTTTACTTTAAATTTCCTGGTTTTTTTTTTTTGATATGCCAGCCATTAAGTCGATTTTTGTAGGTTCTAGTTTTGCACTCTATCCTATATGCAACAGCTATAAGCTGTAAGCGTTTAGTCTGAGTACAAGAGATTCTTCATCCTTTTCGTCCCTGCAGCTGAAAACTTAAGTGACTTTTTCACTACTACTTTTTACTACTGCTTTGCAAAAATTCTTTACTTTTCCACTTCGTACTACATCTTAGCTTCAAAACCATCTATTTCCCTTATGTATTTTTTTAACCCTTCAACTTAAGTAATACTATTGTGTTTTTATTTTATTTTTTTTTTTCGTTTTTTTAATTTTTCTTAATAGTTAATGCCAAGTCTTAGACACTGTAAAATAGTTCACGATTGATTGTGCGTTTGTTTGATCAAAAGCCTAAATAACTAAAATAATCTTTATATATATATATTTTTTTTTAATTTTTAATTAGTTGAATAAATTATATTGAAGGATATCTTACAAAAAGCCACATCATGGATATGAATTTTATGAACGAGGCAACTGAATATTTACCAGCCACTATACCAGACGTCAAACATTTTGAGTTGAAAGTGTTGGAGGAGAAGTTGGAAAAATTATATGTCGGACTTGATACAATGAAAGCGCATTTATTCACATATCAAAATGTACGGGTAATGAATAATTAAATTTATAGTATATATGTACAAACATTTGTTTAGAGCTAGAACTCCTCGCCGCATTTCCCAAGCTTAATTTCACACTTCTCTATACTTCTTCTAAAAATTTTGACTGAGAAGGAATTCGAATATTAATTCTGTTGCTCATTACTATGCCATTATAAAATCGAATGTATGCAATATTATATGAAGCATTTCACATTTTTATTTTGATAATATTTAAAAAATCTAAAACTTGTTTAAATACTGAATAACTTAAAAAAAAATAAAATAAAAATGAAAAATATAAAAATACTGAATAACTTAAAAAGATCCTTGTGGAGTTCTTACTCATTGTCTAAGTGTAGGGTTATTTTTACCAAAACAACAATAAAGAAATCAATTTTTGCTCACAACAGCAATGCACCATAGAGGAGACCAGAAACATATTAAACCCAGACTTGGCTAATCTTATTGATGAATACGAAAGCATTCAGTATAAATTGTTGGATATATTAAAACTTTGGCAACGGAAACAAGCCTTGGCAATTCTAAGTGAACCTTTACCCTGTCATTTGGATGAGATACAATATATTGTTGAGATATTGATGGATCGAATAGAAGATATTAAATTATTTATTGCTACTTTATTAAGTTTTGAATATGAGCCGAAACTTGAAAACCATTCGCAGCGCGTCCAACGCTTACAACACGTTCTTATAGTTTCATCATTCATCGTAGAGGAGCAGCCACCACAAGTTAAGAAGAAATTGACGAAGTAAATAGAATAGAAAATTTATCTATCATTTCAAAACCAATATCTGCTTTTAATTCTTTTCCAGATTTTCGGCGAAAATACGTTGGTTAATTGCAAATAAATTGAATATATACTCGAGCAAGCCGAAAGTGGTGTGTGCAGTACTTTCGGGTAAAATTTTTCTTATTAATCTTTTTATACCTTTCATGTACGCGAAATGGTACTTAGTACGGCCATAAGCTCGGTTGCAAGTTCAAGCCGAAACTTGACTTAATAAGGCATATATCAAATGATAGCGGCTGCAATAGCCGAGTGGTTAGCAGTATGTGCTAACATTTGAAAAACCGGAGTTTGAATACTGATTCGACAAAATCCAAAATTTATCTAAAATTAATCTTTCTAGTTGACCTAGCCTATATATGATATGATATAAAAAGCTCTTTAAAAATCCAGCGGTCGTTTGGAGGCAGCCTAGAAAAAACTGTATGTCGAAAAGGAACGAAAATCGCAACAGCGGTTTGAAAACTCCAATTATATAAATATATATATATGTACTCGTATATATAGATATATATATTTTGAGACTCCCCACATTTCTGTGGGACCATGTTCTCCAGTTCCAACCAACAACTGTTAAGAACGGTATGGAGATATTCTCGAATTACTCTAACTATTGATCTGATCGTTAGAACCATTTCCCTTGACATAATTTTCTGTTTTATGAGGAGGTTTCTTCGAAAGCTTTCGCGAACAGAGAACAGTAATTACTCTCTTAAAAAAATTGGCTATTTATTCTCAGGGGTATAGAGCAATTTGAGCAGCTTCACACTCGTCCACTGCTCAGCGGCTCAAATGTTTGTTTGTTTTGAACAATTCGAGCGTCAAAACTAAAGATTTTAATCCCATTTCTTGAAATTACTTTGGGATTATAGTGAGTTTGCGTAAATAAAATAAAAATAAAAAAAGGAGTTCTGAACAAAATAAATAAAATATTAAAACATATTTGTTTGAAATGCTCCAAGGATCTTAAAATATTCGCAAATCGCAGCGTTTCACGATTTTCTCAGAGGTAGACACTAATATTACCTGCATCTCCGAACGGCTGATGGTTTTTTTATGAGGAGCTTTAACATTCGCTGCCGAGTTGCGACCGCAATTAGAAAATTTAACTGTATCTTTTATTCAAATTAATTTTCTATAACTTTTGCTTTAGTATATTTAGTTTTTATTTCTTTCTTTTACGATTTCCAGAGGCTCAGGTTAAAGAGATTGATCTAGAAAGTTTGCAAATCCCTGTCATACATCAAGGCAGCATGTCGGGTAATGAGTGTGAAATGAACTACGACAACGATAGTCGTCGCTTTTCAGCAGAGTTTGCGTATGTAACTGAAACTGTTATTTGCAATGAGATAATACAAACATCCATAATTTTTTTCGCACAGAAATCTTACAATTACAAATATCGATCGTTCGGAAAGGAGAGGCAGTGAAAGCGTTAAAGATGAGAAATGCGCTTTACTATTCTATACTACAGTTAATGTGGGATACCCAATTAAGGTAAGAATATTCAATATTCGCTAAAAAAAATTTTCCAATAAAACTACAGTTTGCATTCATTCTCTAACACAGTGCGGCGCTCTTACGCTGCCAATGGTGGTCACTGTGCACGATATGCAAGCGCCACAAGCGTGGGCCACAATAACTTGGGATAATGCTTTCTCATCGATAAAGCGTGTACCGTTTAAAGTGCCAGATAGAGTACATATTTCAGGAATATTGGAGATGTTAAGCATGAATTTTGCCCATACAACGGGTCGTCCTTTATCCTATGAAAACATGGAATTTCTTCGTACGTTTTTAAAAAGTTCATTCACTTCACTTCACTTCTTTTTTTTTAATTTCTGTCATTTCATATCAACAGGAAAGAAACTGCTAGGCACTGATAACGGTCTGGTTGATGAATATGTAAGTTACGCTCAAATTGCCCGCGATAAGATACCACCAGAGCACAAATTTACATTTTGGGAATGGTTTTATGGTGTAAAGAAATTAACAAGAGAATACTTCAAAGAAACATGGATGAGTGGGCACGTGGTTGGATTTATAAGTAAAAATGAAGCTAAGCGTATACTATCGCTTGAAGAAAATGGTACATTCTTGATTCGCTTCTCGGATAGCGTAATAGGTAATACATAGTATAAATTTAAAGAACTAACAAGGGCACACCAAATGAGAATGGGTGGATGTTTCGGTTGTAAAACAAAAAATAAAAATTATTTTTCGTAATTTGCATGCACTTCTATGCGTTGAATACTAATCTAAAGCCGTTTTGCTTAGAAATAAATTGAAGATTAAAATTTTAAAATTAAAACGGACAACATGTCGTATGAGCAACATTTTGTTAACAGAAAAAAATTGCAAAAAAAAATTTATTTTCGATTTTGCTAATATTTGTATTTCTCACCACTCATTAGGTGGAATAACAGTTGCCTATCGAGATTTCTATGGTCAACTAAAAATCATATCACCATGGAAATGGCAGGATCTTCAAACACGCTCCTTATCCGATCGTATTAGGGATGTGGACATCCTGAGTGTCGTATATCCAACAAGGACACCAAGTGTTTTAGCATTTTGTCGTTCAACACATGCAAATCGTGGTAAGTACAACGATATTGAGAATGATGAAATAATTAAGATTGAAAATAACATGACTGTTATTAAAAATATATAGAAATTCGCATTCCTTATAGGAAAAATTCAATTCGAAATCTTTTAACAAAATTCAAATCTAAGGATCGGAATATTTACCCCTATTGAAATTCTTAATAGATCGAGATTAAATAATAAAAGTGAAACATGTAAGGTATCTATTATACATATACATATTTAGAGTGTATAGCAATACAATTCTCTCAGTCATAGTGAGGAAAAGATATTGCACAGCAGCCACAGTTGGCTTCAACAATAACTTTGAAACGAAAATATCTCTTTCTTTCCATAAAGTAACACTATTTTTCTTAGCAGTTTTTAATTTATGATTTATTGCTGCAAAAGTTTTATATATTAAGCCGAGCTAATTCTAGACAATAGGCAATCATAGAGAGAAAAAAGCCCGATCGTCTCTCGGAAAAAAAAATGAAATCTTCCGAGTGTATTTCTGTTATGAAATATAATCTCCTAATAATGCATCAGCTGATCGGAGACGGCTTAGGAAATACTATAAACCACTCTACTTTGTGAAAAAACATCAAGACTAACATCATAAATTAAAGAAAAATAGATACAGCGTTAACAAAGGGATATATATAATATAATATCGGCGGTCACGATAGCCTGGTGCCTGACATGAAAGTGCTGAATATCGAATGTGAGTGGAACGGATTTAACTTATTCAACAAGTGTCTTAAAATTTGGTTTTAAGTATTATATATATTTTATTTTCCAACTTATTTTTATTTTGAATCAGCTCATAGTGGAGTTTTACGATGTTTTACATAATATCAGAGTAAATTGAATGAAAGTAATAAAAATTAAAATTGGTCTCTCTCTTGAATTTAGAATTTTAAATAATCAATCTGTACTCTAGGATATTAAATATTGTGAGGAGTAGTGAGATTTTTTGTTTTAATTTGAAAGCGAAAATTTTCTATTTAGTTTTTTACATTTCGTCAGGGCGTATACGTAACATTTTAAGATGTTCAGTACATTTTCTGATCGCACACAGGATATGCGTATGCACATAGGATTGGTTCTGGTAGTAAAATAATAAACTTAATATTACTGGAGGCATCACACTAATACTCTTTTGATCTGTATCTTATTGCACCTCCTGCAAGCATACATCAGCGTATAAAAGCAATGTGCGGCAACGTAGGGACCAGATTTTTCTCACAGCAAGCAATTAAAACTAATTAAACTTAAATTAAAACAGTTTAATTTTAAATATAAATCATATATATAAAAATTAAATATTTGTAAATGTCCGTCCGACTGCTTGAAGTTTGTAATCTGAGTTGTTTTTGCAATAGATGGATTTAGTGGTTTGTATCTCGCGTTCTATAATATATGTGCAATCGAATTACGCTAGATAATATTTTGTACGAAAAAAGACAAAATGAACTTCTATTAGCAATAAGCAATCCACTACCATACTCAGAAAATTATGTGATTTGTTTCAAATAACTTCTTGCCATTTTGAAAACCTTATACCTATTAGTCAAAAATTAGGAAAATCCATTTTCACAAGATTCTCGTGATGCCAATTCTTCACCAGCTAAATCAATCGCAACAGCTTTAGGCGAGTCACAAAGGATGTATGTGGTCTGGTGCTGTCCTGATTAAACACTATTCCCCTCTAAAGTTGGGCGCTTCTAGGCGATTGCTTTCTTCTTTCTTGGGACAACCCAAATGCTGACAGTACAGGTCCGAATTAAGAGTTTGAAGGTAAGGATAGTGAATGATTCCTTGCCAATCCCACCAAACACACAAAAAATCTTACTGGTCGTCAATTTCAGTTTAGAGACCGTTTGTACTGGCTTACTGCATTTCGACTGCGACAGTTTTCATGTGACATTGTTGTAAGTGGTCTACTCCACACCGTGGAACACGTTTCACTTTAAAATTACCAGAAGGAAATGGAAGAAACCAAAATTGTACTCTTTGCTGGTCAGCATCTGGACATGCACTCAAACCTTATGAGTTAAATGGTGAACACTCCTCCTGTTATATTTTTTTGTACAAAATATCATATTTCTAACGCCATTTAGTGTGATGCAAACACATTTATAGAACGTGAGATACATAGATGTCACCGTACGATTTTACACCTTTCAACGCTTTTGTGGGGCTGCGCGAGAGACCGAATTCCTATGAGTATGGGGTTGAACTTCTAAATCTTGAGCAGTTGCCAACCGACATTTGTCAAGTTATGACTGATATACCGCCCAATATGTAGCAAAAAGTGATCGAAAATTACCTCAAATGGATCGAAAAATTCGCGACACCGTCATTTGCAAAGGAATTGCATGAAAATAATCATATTAAACGCACTTTATTTCGGTTTATTTTCGAATGCGCGGAACGGATAGCACTGTACTTATCAAGACAATCTCTTTTCTTTGCAGTAACCACTCGTGACGGTTACGACGGAACGATGGAACTTCGGGTGCAAATTACTTCACAGCCTGCGAACAATTTCGGCCAACAAATGTAACTAAATAAAATGTGTATATTTCAAGTATATGTATTAAACTTTACTACAAAAGGTGAAAATAATAATACAAATAAAAGATGAAAGAGAAATGATATTTCACCAAATATACATAAGAGAGCTATTTTCATCTCTCTATCTCTAAAATTTTGTATATTCTATTGATTGCTTAGTCATACTAAATACTAAATATACATACATCATGTATGCATTATATATGATATAATATATACAAATATCATCTATTCCTTTAGCCAGCAACAAATTTCACAAACAGCCAACAGCGAACATTCATTATCCTCTCCTAATAACAACGATTTTGAAATTCTAAAAGAAATAATGAATGGTAAATATAAGTGAATTTATAAAGACTGCACATTGTTTCAATCAAATTTTCTTATTTCAGAATTTCTTTCATCCAGTTCAAGCGAAGGGTATCAGTCCGATCCATTTTTGTGAGTTTGCAAATCAACCTGAGCGACCTCATTATAACTCAAACCAGTGAATTGTTCAATGAAGTTTCAGAATATGCAAGAAATAAAATAGTTGTAACAAAACATATTTTAAAATTTTATAAGAATTAAATTGTTGTTTAATATAAAGAGCAGCCAAGTGATAGTTATTAAGGCTTATTTTTCTATTTTAAATGTAAATTTTTATATGTATGTATATATGAAATCTAGTAAAATAATAAAAAATAAATATTGTAATATACAGAATTCTCCCGCCACAGTATTTGCATCGACTGCGCCGATTTTATTGAAATCTTTAGGACATATCGGTTAGGTATGAGAGTCGGCTGTACATCTATTTTTCTCAGCCGTAAGCGGAACAGAACGGACCTATTCTAATAAATCATATTTATGGTTTAATTTACCTTTGATTAGATTAGAAGCACCACTAACTTTGTTTCCAGGAAGTGTTCCAGGCACCGATCGATAAAATCTTATTTATGGCTCGAATTTATTGTTTGTTTTGTTTTTTTTTTTTCGAAAATGGCCAGGAACCACAGGATAAGTTTCCATGGTCCATTACAAAAACACGATAGTTGGCATCGTACAGTGACTTGAGCTGGAACTTAATTCGAAAGCGTGCGCGTACGTAAGAACCAAGCAACGTGGAATACATATAATATACATAAGTATTGTACTTAATAGTTATACTGAGCCGCCTCCGAAGGGTCGAAGGATTTTCATGGGGAAAAGCTTCTACAATTTTGGTTGTTGGCCTTCGCTCAACATAGCTCAATCATATCACGTTAATATTGATGATTGCATAAGTTCATGCCCGATTCCGCTGGATGCCGTTCGAATCGTTTGAGAGTGGCGCTCGTGAAAGATATATATATATATATATAATATATTATTCGTATATATATACATATTATATATATAATATATCGTTGGAAAGGTGACAGTCCGAACTGTAAATCAAGCATAAAATAACTTCATTTTGATTTGAGTTGCTTAGTGAAAAGACGCATGGAAGATGGACAACGAAAAAGATCATATGCGTCATATTATGTTATACGAATTCCGCAAAGGAAAAACAGTAGGCGCTGCAACTAAAGATATTCGCGAAGTTTATTTGGACCGTGCTCCAGCACTCCGCACAGTAAAGAAATGGTTCGCGAAATTTCGTTCTGGAGATTTTAACCTCGAAGATCAACCTCGCAGTGGACGGCCTTCTGAGCTTGATGACGATGTTCTAAGGACTTTAGTTGCGAATAACTCACGTATTTCGACGGAAGAGGTTGCCAGTGAATTGAACGTCAACAAATCAACTGCGTTTCGTCGTTTAAAAAAGGTTGGGTACACTTTGAAGCTCGATACATGGGTGCCACATCAGTTGAGTGAAAAAAACAAAGTGGACCGTATGTCAACAGCAATTTCTTTGCTTCGACGGATCAAAAACGAACCTTTTTTGGATCGGCTCGTGACTGGTGATGAAAAATGGATCCTGTACAACAATGTTCAACGCAAAAGAACATGGAAACAGGCACACGAAGGGGCGGAACCGATGTCGAAAGGTGGATTGCATCCGATGAAGGTACTGCTGTGCATTTGGTGGGATATCCGAGGCGTGATCTATTTTGAGCTCTTGCCAGCTGGAGAAACGATCACTGCCAACAAGTATTGTCAGCAATTGGTCGAATTGAAGAAAGCAATTGATGAAAAACGTCCGATTTTGGCCAATCGCAAAGGAGTTCTTTTCCATCATGACAACGCCAGGCCACATGTTGCAAAACCGACCCTGGCCAAACTGAAGGAGATGAATTGGGAAATCATGCCGCATCCCCCATATTCACCCGACATTGCACCTTCTGATTATCATTTGTTTCGATCGCTGCAGAACAATTTGAATGGAAAAAAATTTAAAAATGTGGAAGACGTCAAAAACCACCTTGACACCTTTTTCAACGAGAAACCGCGCGATTTCTATGAATCAGGCATCCGTAAATTGATTGAAAGTTGAGAGTGGATTGCCAAACATGATGGCGAATACATAATTGATTAATAAAAGCGCTTTCTTCAAAAAATTTCAATTTTAGTTTGCACTTGAAATCGGGCACGAACTTATGCACTCATCCAATATTTATTTATTGCTGGTAATTTCTTATTTCTTTTTTACTATTTGGTGATTTCGCGCATTTGTATATTAAATTCTGACATAGCGACGTAGAGATACTTGTGTATACGGTGAAATTTTTGTGGATTGGGCAGAGTATTCTTAGGTGCTAATCGTAGGGCATGCTTTCATCCGACCATATTCTGTAAAGTTTGTTTTTCGCCGTCATGCTTGTATAGCTCTCGGCCGGCATGCCATTGTCCCATACGTTTCGAGTTCCTCATCTGCGAGTGTTTCAATTTTATTGCAGTCAGCAGGGTGGAAAAGTTATCCCTTCATTAACTCAATATATTGGTCAAGTAAAAAGTTCGTACGGTTTTTATCATGAGATGGCGTTATTGTCCATAGTACGAGTTTTTCGTGTCGCATCATGTCATACTATACGGTGCTGAAAACGTGTTTATTTGCGCTAAAAGTTTGTCTTTGACAGTTTTTCGATTGATAGACTCAGTACGTTGTGAGCGCTCGTCAAAGATGGACACCAGCAAGGAGAAAATTCGCCATATTTTTCAATTTTTCTTCGATCAAGGCGAAAAAACAGCCAAAGCGGCTGAAAAAATTAATTTAGTTTATGGGTCCGATACTGTAAGCGACCTGTTTCTGAAGCAGATTGTGACTGGCGATGAAAAATGGGTTACTTACTACAACATCGAGCGCAAACGATCATGGTCAAAGCTCGGGGAAGCGGCTCAGACAGTGGACAAGACCGGATTGACGGCCAGGAAGGTTTTGCTGTGTGTTTGGTGGGATTGGCAAGGAATCATCTACTACGAGCTGCTCCCCTATGGCCAACAAATGGACCGCTTGAAGGCAGCAACCATCCAGAAGAGGCCATCTTTGATCAACACTGACCGAATCGTGTTCCTTCAGGACAACGCCAGTCCACACACGTCTTTGATGACGCGCCAGAGGCTCCAGGATCTCGGATGGGAGGTCCTAATGCACCCACCCTATAGTCCGGACCTGGCACCAAGTGATTATATCATCTTTTCCTATCCATGGCGAACGCGCTTAATGGTTTAATGGTAAGAAGTTGGCCTAAAGAGAGGCCTGTGAAAATTGGCTTTCCTAGTATTTTGCCAATAGGGACGCAGCCTTCTACGAGAGGGGTATAATGAAGTTGGCATCTCGTTGGCAACAAGTTTACGAAAAAAAACGGCGCCTATTCGACTTAAATCGGACAAATGTACACAAAGTTATCATATTTTGAAAAATCAATAAAAAAAAAAAAACCGAATGAACTTTTTACTTGACCATAATACATAAGGATTTGGAACAGTCAGCAGATCGTTGCAGAGAAAATATGAAAAAGGGCAGTAAAAAATAAACGACATGAAGTTTACAAGGTATTGAAAAAGCAACAAAAAATAGACGTCTCGCGAAATTTACTGGAAAAATGATTACACATTTTTATATTTTATAGATTTCATTGATTTATGCGTGAACAACGCAAACAACGAATATACATACATAAGTTTCTATATGTAGATATGTAAAGACAACAGTTAAATTTTACATTAAAGCAATTTCTATTATCAGTCACTGTAGCCTGGAAGATATCAGTGGGTGCTGCTAAACAGAGGGTCAAGGCTTCGAATTCAATTGCTTTACAAAGTGTTGAGGAAGAAAATTTTTTATATAGTTAAATTGTTTTTTATTTTTACAGCAACGACAGAAGATAGAGATCGGAAGGGCTGTATTAAAATGATGATTTCTTGCAAAGGAAATTCAGCTTGGTTTTGAAAATTTGTTACCAAAATAATTTTTTAACTTGGCATATCTTTAGGAATGGCATTAAAAAACGTTATCAACGTTACGTGGCATACATAGGAGAAGGATTAAAAAAAAATAATGTAAGCTTAACGCTTAAGACACTTAACATAACCTGTAGACTTCTTTTCTTTTGAAAAAATTAATTTGATTACTTTTGGGATATAAAAGGACTGTGCTTTGGACACAAAAAGAGAAAAGTGTAATTATGACTCTTTTCTTAAGATATGTTCGAGTAAAATGGGAATGGTTTAGTTTGTGCACTACCTATTCTATAGCCTGATAAACGATAGTGCCTTATTTGTCCTTTCTCTTCGCTGTTTGGCGCCAATTGGAAATAACACGTGGAACCAGGTCGCTCTCCACCTTATGCCTCCAACGGAATGGATGTCCTGCACTGATTCCACCAGCGGATATTGTATCGATTAGTTTCAAAGCTGAAGCACTTTCACACATGCGGACGACATGACTTAGCTAGCGTAGCCGTCTGTAGCTCGTACAACCATGGTTCCATCGTCTGCGGTATTCGCCGATGCCGATGCGCAAACGACCATAGATCGTTTTCAAAACTCCCAAAACCCACTCATCAGATATCAACATCGTCCACTCTTCTGCACCATATAGATGGAAATGATGAGCGACTTGTAGAGTTTGGTTTTCGTTCGTAGAAAGAGGGCGTTACTTTTCAATTGCCTACTCAGTCCAAAAAAACAAAAATGCAGGTGCTACTGTTGGCAAGAGGGATTCTGCATTAGAATTCAAGGCTGACTTTATTATTGGTGTTAATGATGGTCATTAGATAGACGAAATTATCAACGAACTCGAGGTTATGACTGTCAATATTGAACTGTTGATTTGATTATAAGAGATTTTTCGTCTTGTTCTCGTTCATTACCAGGCTCATTCCCTTCACTTCTTTATCAAGTCTGGAGTATGTTAATCAGAGACGTATTTTTTTTTTAAATATTTCATAGCTCCGGAAAGAGAGGGGGTGGTATGTTTAAAAACTGCAAAATAACCACATTACTAGAGCAGGAGGTATCAGCAAGGCACTGTGGAGTTGTTTTTTAATGAAACCATGATTAAATACCAAGCGTTTAAACATGCTAGGTCACATCGTCTTTGTCTCCCATTGGAGCGTCGACGCAAAACAGCGATATATTTAAAAAGTTTGCTTTGTTGAGGATTGTGGCTAAACGTTATATGATCTTATTATTATTAAATAAAATAAAATAAATGATATCTAGTGGAAAAAGTAGTGTAAAACAAAACCATGTTCCGTCGCGCAGGTGGGCGGAGGTCCTTGGAAAGGCTAATTTGGGCTGCATGGAGGCAGCGGGTAATTCCGAGTAATAAAAGAGCAACAGTACACAGGTTTCCATGCTACCGCGTTCATATTAAATTAACGACAAATTGCAATTATGTCGCTACGCTGTCGTGTTGTCTTCTGAATCACTTTATCAATTGTCGCTTGTCGTACTGTCGCACACCAAACGTACAGTGCATAATTGTTGAGTACCCAACAACATTTTATATTGACTGTGATCGCAGTTCCATTTGCACAGTTATATTTGTTTATTCGCCTAATCAACAAGTCTCGTTCGTTGCGCGCGTTGCGCGTTGAGAAAAAGAGTTTTTGGAATTTCTTCGTAGATTTGTATTGGAAAGTGCATGTAATAATTTGTTCATTCGTTACCATCTATAAACAAATTTAATTTCTTTAACAACAGTTTTCCAGGACCAAAGTGAGTCACAAATGTTTGTATTAAATTTTGTAAGCTTTTCAAACTGCAATGTGCACAAATTAAAGTTTTGTTTTCAATGTTGTGAATAAATTTTTACTTTTGTCCTCTGAATTAAATACCAATCTATTGCTAATAATAGATTGTGGGGTGTTTATAAAAATTATGCAACAGTTGTTGTAATTAAATATTCAAATAAGGATAGTATCATTTCAGTTACACAAAACCCAACCGACAAACTTAGTTTTAGTTAATTTTCAAATCAACTTTTTATTTATTTTTTTTAAACATTTTTTTGCTGTTTTTAAAAATACATCCTCCTCTGTGTCAAAAATACTTAAATATAAATGCAATTATATTTTTTGGTGCACAGTGGCACTTTTGCTTATAAAATGCAGAGTTAAAACTTATTAAAACTGCGTAGTAAAATTCGCGACGAAACGAAGAAAGCAAATCAAAAATTAATTTAACATATTTTAAATCATTAATAATGTTTCTGGTTCTAAGGCCAAACTCCTTGTCCGATTTGTGGGGTGGGTTGCGCCTTCATATTTTCATGATGAACCTATAATTTATTTTCAATCGCCTCCCTATCTATACTGAAGGGTTCAAATTAGAGGCAGGCGCAAGAACAGACCACGCCCATAACTATAGCTTTATAGTCAATGATTACCAAGTCTGTATTCCAAGCAAAGATTGTGCGCATTACTGAACATTTAAATGGGATAATCTAACAGATTTCTCGTAGACAGTCAAGCGGCAATTAAAACTTTACAATGTCTCCACACAAAGTCTGAAAGTGTGAGAGCATACATAGAGGCAATTAACAGACTATCGCGGGAAAACACAGTGAATATCACTTGGGCCTCAGGACACACGAAACTGGAAGGCCATTAAAAGTCGGATAAGCGGACTCGCACTGTCTCACACCCTGCCTCAAACACTTCAGCGCCGTCAAATGTTGTTTAAATACTTTAAGGATAGTGGAATACTAAAGGTATTGAAATTTTTCCAAGACAAGATTTACCACTTAATTGTTAGGATAGTAGACAGACCAAACTGTTACTTGCATTAAGCAAAAGAGAACTTAACACTCGTAAAGTTGTATTAACGGCGCAACTATCCATGAGTGATCATCATCTCCATATGTTAGTTAAAGTGAAATTGGCTGGGTGCAGAGCATGCTCTGAGGATAACGAAATGCTGGATCTTTGTGACTGCCCGGCCTTCAGCCGATTGAAACGTCATATATTTCACTATCATCCTCTGATCAAACCTTACGCAGATGAAACTAAAACAATTGGTAAAATCGAATGAACTATTCGCAAACGCTTAGTCCACCTGCGGTCAGTTCCATCTTTCAACCGCCCAACCCACTCAAACGCCTCCTAACGGTTGAAGAGCTTTTATTTCATGTCATAAATACATTCGGAGGGCTGTCGTGTGGCGATCGCAATTGGAAAATTTTACTTCGATAAAAATACGTTTATAAAAGTCCGCATACCTCGAAAAGTTACCGTACGATTGAATAGAAATTGAGTGCAATATTGTTTCTGTGGTTCCTGAAAAGATTTACTCAAAACAATTTTTATGGGAAGAAAACCAGGGACCGAACTATTTCAAAAAATAATAATTTACTTATGATTCGATGTTCTTAAAATTAGATACATTTGGATATGATTTTTCGCCAAAGAATCGTATTTACACTTCTTTCTACTTGAAATTCTGCTCTACGGTTCACGCCAACAATTATATGTGCATATATTTATATGTAAGTACATATTTACGTACATATATATATATATACATATGTGCAGTGGGCTTAAACCCTAAGTAAGCAAGCCGCAAGATAGTCTCCATCTAAACTCACTCGATTTTCTATATAAATGATTAATATGTTGCTTTCCAACTAGTACTAGTTGTTGTTGTTGTTGTTGTATTGTAATAAATTGTAAAATTCTTATGAATTCAACCTGTTTTATACACACATACACGTACATGTAGGCGCATGGGCGTTTTTTGTTATTTTAATTTTTATTTTTTTTTTATCTTTTTTTTATTTTTTTTTTTCTTATTTTTTAAAACATTTTTGAAATCGGCTCACTGCTGACAGAAATTCCCGCAAACAACTGATAAGTGATTGAAAACATATCAAAATACAATATTAATACCACCAAAAAATGTATGTATATACATATATTGTACATGTATATGTCTACATATACATATGTATGTATATATCGATACCTATAATCGTATACAGCAGTATTTGTTGCACATTAATTTGCATATATTATTACTTTTGCCGTTACATACATGCATACATAGATAGATTTAAAAGAATTGTGCAAGCTATTTTATGTTCTTATCATACGTGTTTAATATAATATTTCAGACACTTGTATTTTTTGCTATAAATAGTGTACATATCTATATATGTATGTTTGTATGTACTCAAAGCACATTTTTCCGAGAAATCAACAATTAGCTTTTGTTGTTGTCGTATTTTATAAAACGCTATCGACTTGCGGCAAGTTTTTGTTTTTGTTTATTTATTTTTTTGTTTTTTTTTTTGTACAGTTGTAGTTGTTTGTACATACACATTACATATTCGTTTAACAACAATTTATTTACGTTGTGAAATATTTTCCGGCGCCCGGCTTGCCCACGTTTCTTGTTTTTATTTTTTGTTCTTTTTTATATTCAAAGATTTTATATTTTCTTTCTATCGACAATTTCAAAATGTTTATGGCAATAATTTGATATGTATGTATGTATGTATGTATGCATATTCACGCACATATAATTGCATAGCTTTTTATTTGCGCCAAAGCGAATGAAACTGGAAAGAATTGTTGGAAATTTCAATTAATTATTCCTCTGAGCTTTTAACATTTACAACTTATTAAATGGCATTTGCAAATATTATATTTACATATGCACATTTGGACATATATACATACTATATATGCAATTTATGATGCACTTATGAGTGCAAAACCAAGAGGTTATACATTTTTTTTCAAATAAATTAGCTACAAATACAAAAAAAAATATATATATATTTATATATATGGCGCTTTAGGGAATTCAAGTAGATAATTTATTATACTTATACTTATGCACTTATATGTACATATCAACATTCATTTGTTATTATTCTGACGAAATGAAATAAAGCATGTCCATATTACAGTTTGCACGTTTGTATGGGTCTGTCAACTATCAGTAGCACTTTGGGTATTCCCCAAATTTATTTTAGTTAATAAACAATTGTCATTCGACATACATGTACATGCACATTTACGTTATTATATTGGACATACATACACGTGCAATAAAACACAGATCAACAAAAATTGTCTTTTCTGTTTCTTCATGCTCTTATCTGTTACTATGAATTATGATGTTTTGAATGCAAGAAAGCTATATATTATATATATATATATATATATAGATATAGAAACGTATGTTTGTTCGTTCTTTGTTATCACCTAAACCAGACGACAGATTATACTGAAAATTTGTCAGTTTGTTTCTAGGGGGTCGTGCAGAGAACTGTAGTGGACCATGGACGGTCATACTGGGACAAATCGTGTTTACGTCTCGATTTACTTGAAATTCTATACAAATGTGGCGTATTGGTTAGATTAAAGGAAATACTACTCTTTTCTTGGGGAAGTGGATCAGGGACAAAACAACTCGTAAAATCGTATTTATAGTTCCTTTTACTTAAAATTATTTTTCTACGGGAAGTGCAACCTTTTATTATTCAAGGTTCGTTTTAGTTCGCAAAGACTTGGAATAAGACCCTTCAGCGCCTTCAAATGTCGTTTGAAGCCATGGTTAAAAGAGGAACACTTAAGGTTCCTCTCTTCGAACTCTTCCAATGGAGGTCGTAGTACTAAATTATATCGGTACAGCGTGGATAGTAGACAGACCAAACAGTTAGTTGTATTAAGCAAAAGAGAAGTTAACATTCTTATATGTGTAATAACAGGGCTTCTACCTCTGAGATATCATTTTCATAAGCTAGTTAAAGTCGAATCGGCTGTGTGTAGAGTACGCATAGTGGTGGTGAAACGCTGGAGCACTATCTTTGCGAGTGGTCGGCCTTCCGCTTCGCAAGGTTCCCAGCACGAACCTCACGATTTATATGTCTGTTCAATGGCTTAAGTGCATTCGCTTGCCGTCAGATCGTCGACCTTTCTCTGTCAAGCAACCGAAACAAATCCGAGCGGTTGATGGATTTTTAAGAGAGACCGAAATATTATTAAAATCGTATTTATAGTTCTTATTACTTGAGTTTCTTTAACTACGGAAAGTGAATCGTTTGATTTGAAAAATGAGTTCCTAGAAATGGAAATAATACTCTCTTTTTAGTAAAGAGATCACCGACAGATTGACAAAAAGATCGTGCGTAGGTAAGCTTCCCATTTTTTGTTATTCTGCGGATGCGAGCTAAAACATATTTTTATGCATTCAACTTCGGTGTGTATAAGTATATGTAGGTCCAAATGGTGCGTTTGGCTTACTTAGAGGCATTTATATTGATATTTTCGTGAAAGGCTTTGAGCTGCGAAGAAGTGATCCACACATACAAATGGTTGGCTAAATCAATTATATAATAAAGAACATAATATTTTGACCATTTAGAATCAAAATTTTATTAAAATCAAGGCGAATTCATGAAGAGGAGAGCAAGAGAACTAATTCAAGTATTTTTGTGTATTTTGCTTTTAATCTTGCTTAAGAAAATCCATTTTGCATTTTTTCTTAATCTATTCTAAAACTATCCCAGAAAATGTCTTCACAATTTCAGATTTAAGAAGCTACAGAACTTTGAAGAGCGTTTTCCCGAGTTTTCATATTTACAAGTCTTAAAAAACGGTGCCGGTGATAGCTAAAAGAGCATACATACATTATCCGATGGAAAAAAATCAAAGTAATCTAGCTTCAATATTAAATTATCTTCTATTTGAATCAAAAAAAAGTTGGACAAAAGTATTATTTAAACTAATTATTGTAGCTTGAAGTGAATTTTTTTTTTTTCAAAAAGTTACTTCAAGAAACACAACCAAATATTCCAGTTTCTCTGGTATTTCAACCCATCAAGATGATAAATAAATTCATAAAAATAAAAAAAAAAAAAATTGGTTCTAATTTTCCAGATGAAACGCACAATTTTTCGTTTAATTCCTCAGAATCTGGGTGTGAGTGAAAAACTTTGTCAATCAGTGTAATTACCAATTCATGCCTTAACTGGTTTTGTCGTTTGCAAATTCAAGTAAGCACTTTTATTGCGATGCTATTTGATGGCATTGCATATGGATTGAATTTTAATTATCACAACGCCATGTGAAATTATTTGTTGCATTTAAGTTGAGTCCTGAAGGCGTTGGTATAACCAAATTTAATATTTCTATGAGGAGCTTTTATTTCATGCCACTCGGAGATACTCCTTGCCGAAGGGCGACCGCAATTCTTAAAATTTATTTTCTCTAATTTCGGATGTCAGTCGGACCAGGATTCGATTAAGCAAAAAAGGCATTTGTAATGATCTTTCTAATCTGCTCGGCTCCAGAAGTTGAATTTTTTAACTTCTGTTATTATATTAAAATAATTTACTGACATTTCTTTTTTAATTTTATTTGTAGATACTTCATCGATCTAAATTGTTCAGCCAAATTTAATTAATCCCGAAGACATATTACGGAGTAACAGCCAACATGAACTCCCCAGTTACGAACGATGGATCAGACATATTAACAACTTTGTATACAAAACTGCAACAATTAACGATTGACAATGAAAATGTGCGCAATGCCATCTTGACGTTTCAAAACGATCATGCAATAGCTAATAATTTGTATAATGGCTTTGAGCAGAGCTCAATGGGAGGGGTTATTCCGACAACAGAAAATTTGAGTAAAAACAAAAACATATTGATTTTAGAGTTGGGCAATCGCCTTAGGGAATATGGCTACATTCAGGATCAGTTGATAAGTATGTTAAAATTATGGCAACAACAACAAGCGTTGGCCGGAAATGGTGCAACGTTAATCAACAATTTAGATGGGATACAATACTGTGCAGAAACACTAATGGACCGTATAACGGAAATAATCATTTTCGTTAACAATCTACAACAGTTAGGTGAAGATTCAACTCTTAACGAGATTTTAAGACATGCGCAGACCTTGCAGAATCTTCTTCTGTATTCAACGTTCATCGTTGAGAAACAGCCACCCCAAGTGATAAAGAAATCATCAAAGTAAGTAACTTTTTTATTAGCATCCGATTACAGTTATTTACAACTCTTCTTTATATATAGATTTCCTGCGACGATTCGTTGGTTAATCGGTGATAAGATGGGTATACACCTCAGTAAACCGAAGATATATTGTGAAATATTATCAGGTAAGATTTTGACACTTCTTATTTTCTACAAAATATGCCGTGTAGAGACTTGCAGAGTTCAGCCTTCTAGTTGTTGTACTATGATTTTCATGCCCGAAGAGGCTGTAATTAATCTTTTTTTACGACGAACCCAGCGTTACCCACCTCCTAACCGTCGAACTGGCAGAGAGGCCCGCCTAAACGATAATCGAAAAATCTAACACGCCAGTGTCCGTAACCAGCGGCCGTCCGGTCTGCCCTGAGCCCGAGACTGATCGCTCAAGGTAGCGATTATACTTGCATATTAGACAAAACAGCGACGGATTGACTCATGAGCTACTTTCAAATGAATGGAAAAGAAGTAGTTTTTGATATAGAATAGGGAGTTGGAGGAGGCAAAGTTGGCGCTACGAGTATTAAAATCGTTGCACAAACATCAACAAGGAAATGAAAGCGGTCCCAAAGTGTAAAGTGTCTGCATGACCTTAAAGGTATAGTAAAGTTAAGCTCGCTAAGTAGGAGTCGGCTTTTGATAAGACCTCTTACCAATTTGGTTAAAAGTAAAGCTCCGTGTTACGTAAACTACTTTGGCAATGAGGGAGACTCTTATTCGCCGATGGGGGTGAATTTCTTAAAGCGAATAGTGGGATTTGCTCTTCTACAGATTTCAACTGAGCCATATTCCATAATAGGTCTAACAAATGAGGTAAAGAGTAATTTGGTAATATATATGGGTCATTGAACTCTTTAGCTCAACTGTTAATAAAAGCTAAGAAGCTTTTGTCTTTATTAGAACGAGAATTTGTATGATTCCTTAATTTAGCTTACGGTCCCTTGGGACACCTGTTACCTTGTTCAACATTATTGCTTCTTCAAAGATATTACAGACGAAATCGCCTACAAATTGATTGTTTTATACCTATCAATCATGAGCTCGGGTTGAAGACTTTAACTTTCCTTTTAGGTCCGGATCTATTAAACTTATTAGTATCTCCTTTATATGGTGGAAAACGCTTGCTGACCTATCATTTGTCGAATGCCTCTGCGAGTTCCTTCCAATTTTTGACGGAAATTCAGTGTAAGTTCACGGAACCGGCTTGTAGCCGTATGCTCGTAGTTACGAAGAAGCATCTATTTCCAGCAGCCAAATGCTAAGACGGTAGTATGAGCTCTCACGTACCTCTACTAAGCTTTGGCGCTTGATGCATTTTTAATCGATAGTGAAATTAATTGATCTGATGCCACACTGATACAGCCTACCCAATTCACTTGTTTGGCAGCGGACTCCAAACTTAAATTCGAGTAGAGAAATCCTCGGCAAAAACACTGGAGATAGGTCAGTTCTGAGTTCAAGAATTTTGATAGAGCATTGTTTTCGCCGCCGGTAAGTCGATCAAACTCAGTCCAATTGGGACTTTCGTGGTATTTAATAATGCTTATTTTTATGTCCTCAATCTCCCAAACTATAAAATATTAAATAATAATAATTATTATTTAATAACAATAATCATTATTTAATAACCATTATATTATTTATAATTTAGTATCTATTCTTCTGAGGCGATTACTTCCTTCAGACAGCCCAATTGCTCACAGTAGAGGTCCGAAGTAAGAGTTTAGTTGTAGGGAAGCAGCTCATTGTCCTTCGCCCTCGCCTGTTTTGATTTGACGTTACTATAAATGATCCACTCTTTATTAACAATCATCATTCGTTTGAGAAATGAAACGATTTTGTAACGATTTAGCAGCGATTCGTGGATGGAAACTCGGTCCGTAAATTAGGCTCGTTCTCGTTAACTTATGTGCCACCCAAATATCGAGCTTCTTTGTGTATCCAGTCTTTTTAAAGTGGTTCCAATTAGGCTCGTATTTATCTACATTTTCGACTATTAGCCTTCCCCGCTGTGGCGCAGGCTTTACACTAAAATTACCTTAATTAAACCAACGAAACGTGATTGGATTGAGTGTTACAGTATCAGGACCCTAAACACTATTCACATTTTTAGCTGCCTGACCAGCGATTGGAGGAACCTACAGTTGGTTCTAAGCCTCCTTTTTGCGCTTATGAATTTTTATGAAGAGCTCTGTTGAGGAGCGGCCGCAATTAGATAAGTTAATTTTCAGTAAGATTTGGATAATGGTCGAACCGGGACTCTAACCCTGGCCATCCGAAGCGTAGTACACAATGGGGCCGTAGGTATGGCTTTAGCAAATTAAATATATAATTGGCGCTTTGGTTTTGCGACTTGATGTTTTTCCAACAAACGGAGAGACCTACAGTATACACTAAGCCGCCTCCGAACGGCTGATGATTTTTTTATGAGCAGCTTTTATTTCATGACAGAAATACACGCAGGGGTTGAATTTCACTGCCAAGGGGCGACCGCAATTAGAAAATTATACCGATTTTTTTATTTAAATTAATTTTCTATAACTTTTGGATGTTGGTGACACGGGAATTTGAACCCGAGCCTTCCGAACCACTCGGCTACCGCGACCGCAGTTTGTAATTCTGTAACCGACAGTATCGAAAATTGGACTGAAAATTAGGCGAAAAACAAACCTTTGTTCGAGATTAGACTAGACCTGAAACCGCTACAGCTGGTCTAAAACCGATACCTTTGCCACAAGAGAAAGCTTACTGAATTCTTTAAGCAGCAGTTATACTTTATCTCACATCCTTCATATATATATATATGTATATACTACTATTTTCTTTCAGAGGTTCAAGCAAAACGGCTTACAACGGAAAATCTTAATATTCCTCCAACAACAAATGGTGAAGTGACCGGCAATGAGGCGACCATGGAATACAATAGTAATAATCGACATTTTTCAGCAAGTTTTACGTACGATCAATGATATTTTGAAAACAATACAATCAAAACAGTTGTTAACTATGGTTTCTTTATCTTATAGCAATCTCGCAGTTAAGACCATAGTACGATCCGAGAGAAAAGGCCCAGTGATTGTGACAGATGAAAAATGCACTTTACTATTTTACGCTAGCATAATACATAACAACTACGTAATGAAGGTAAGTACTTCCTTACATATATACATACATAAAATAAAAAAAAATACATAAACGAGTTCTAAAAATCTTGTGAAAGATTAGTGCAGTAATTAACACATTATGTATGCCTATAATAAATATTTAGTTACTTTTTGTTATGAATCAGCTGAAAAAGATAATTTTTGTAATTTCTTCCTCTTTGGCAGCTGTGGACATTTACTTTGCCCGTTGTAATGGTCGTACATGGTATACAAGAGCCGCAATCATGGGCCACAATCACTTGGGATAATGCGTTCTCTGTAATCGATCGGGAACCCTTTCAGGTGACGGATAAAGTACATTACAGCAATTTGCTAGACGCATTGAATATGAAGTTCAAATATACAACCGGCCGTGCTTTAACCACAGAGAACTTGGAATTTCTTCGTAAGTTTACAAATACTTTTTACATAAATACAATATTAAAGGGGAACTAAACTAAAAGTATTATCGGCATAAGTGGGCTTTATTATACTTCCATTCGGAAGGTCTGGTCCAATGAACAAAAAATTATACAAAATTATCTGCGAAAAGATGATCGACATACACCACCTCTTCGTCGATTTTAAGGCAGGTTTCAGTAGCGCGAAAAGGAGTTGAGCTACGCCGCTATATCTGAACTCGGTATCCTTGAAAAACTTACACACCCATATATTGTAAACTGGCGTGAAACAACACCAAAAACTCCAAACAACGTCTCCGTGCGAAGGATACCAAACGAGGTTTCAGACTCAGACAAGGTGATTCCTTAGAAGAGCTGAATAGAGAAGGCACAATTTTCTATAAGAGCTTACACTGCTGGTGTACGCCGATGGTGTTGACATTATAGGCCTCAACAACCGCACCGTGAGTTCTAATTTCTGCAGAATGGATGAGGGATCGAAGTAAATGGCTCTGGTGTGAACGAGAGTAAGACGAAATATCTCTTTTAATGGAACAAACTGGCTCTCATGTCACTGTTGACTGCTCTCATGTCACTGTTGACTGCCCTCATGTCACTCTTGGTCCTCTATGTATTGGGAACGGCGAATACAGAATGAATAATAGTACTCCAGCTTCAAAAGTATTCAATGTAGAACCCCCATTGGAAGTAGACCACCATTCCTTTGTAAAGATCAGATTGAGAAAGACCTGGCTGCATTTGGAATTTCCAATTGGCGCCAAACAGGGAAAAGAAAGAATGCGTGCTGTGCTGTTGTTAACTCGAATATAATCGCTTAAGCGTTGTCTAGGCTAAAGAAGAAGTAAGATTTTATAAAAACTTTGAACTCAAAATGGTAATAGGGAGAATAAAGTCAAGATGGAGTCATTTTTTCCCGCACTGACCTGTTTGACCGCTGTAGTAAATATAACAGGACCTACTCGCCTCCGTTCTTGTTTCGTCTATCGCACTTCCTAGACGGCGGTGATGTCAGCCCCTATTCCTACGAGGACATCAATCAGCTGAGCAGCGGCACCTACCCAATTAAGGGGCATTCCATATAGCGAATCGCTTGCTTTAAGACCGACGCCAACTCACAGCTGCATCTCTAGTGAGATGAACACACGATACATTTAGACTTCAGCGCACATTCAAGCCCTAAGTCCGAGTGGCTGCACTTAATGCAGCAAAACTCAACTAGTCCGTCTCCTCTATTATAAAACTTTAATTCTAAAACTTTAACTCTTTTAAAACTTAAATTTTTTTCGACATAATATATTTATATTTTTAGGTGAAAAACTTATATTCACTGAGGATGGAACGACCAACGAATACATAACTTTCTCACAATTCTGTCGAGATAAGATGCCTGGTCGTGGTTTCACCTTTTGGGAATGGTTTTATGGCATAATGAAATTAACGAAAGAACATTTGAAGCAAAGTTGGTGTGATGGTCAGATTGTTGGCTTTATAAATAAGCGTAAAACTTTAGAAGGAATATTGCCATTCCAATCAAACGGTACCTTCTTGTTGCGATTCTCGGACAGTGAAATAGGTGAGCTTAGGAAATACGTGAAGTAAACATTAAAATTTATACAAAAAAGGGCTCTCTTTGTGCAAACAAATTTAGGTGGCATAACTATTGCCTTCCGGGATTTCTATAATAACATAATGATATTGGCACCGTGGACTAGTAATGACTTGCAAACACTTTCGTTAGCTGATCGTATACGCGATTTGGATGTGTTGAAGATAGTATACCCGAAAATGATGCCACGCGATGCAGTTTTCGGTCCAGCGCCTATTAAAAAAACTGGTAAATATTATATAATATTATCTATTGTTCTCTCTTATGCACTGGATTTGGCTAATTAATGCTATCATTTATAATTTTAGGCCGCAGCGATTATGTTAGTAGTGTGTTAAAGGTGCATATAGCGCCCCAGCCCACATCCACTTCACAAATGTGAGTTGTCTGTATACTTAAGTGTATATATTGGACGCACAAGTACACATTGCATTATTCTGTAAATACACACATACATACATATACATATGTATATGTACATACTAATATGCGCCAGAAAGAAATTGAATGCATGTTTGTGTTTTTATGTTCATATTAAAAGTAAACAAGAAATAAAAAAGTATATATATTTATAAAGAAAACAACTGACATTTTTTTTTTCATTTTAGTATCCGTATTTCTATGTAAAATTAAACGCATTTGTTTTTAACTAACTAATATAGTGACATAATTAATAAAAAGAAACTGAAAGCTTAAATATACACTTTGAAAACTATTTCCACTCTCCTTATTACAATTCAATGTGTTGAGTATTTATTAATTTGTTTATATCTCGCCAAAACCACACACAAACCTCTATCCATTCTTTATCTTCCAGTCTCGATAACATCGATTGGCAATCAATAGACCTTCAAGAATTATTGAGATCGGGAGAGGAGGTCTCAGATGCAATCATGGCACTTGACCCAACACTGAATGAAGCTACACCTTTACAATGTTTTGGAATATGAACACGGTATGAAAAAAATTCTCATTGTAATTTCGAAACTCAGCGCTTTTCTTTCTCATATCTTTTTCCAGAAATTCTAAATTGAAACAAATCTTTTTTGATGTGAAGTCATGGTTTTAAGGTATACATATATGTATATTCATAAGAATGTATGTATGTAAATTTATGTATAAAATACTTTCTCTCATTTATAAATGTTGAAAATAATGAATTTTTTAGTCTATGAATTAATCTCATAGGTGTTATTTCATACAACAAATTTTACATGATTTTCGTAGGTAGAACTTTATTTTTACTATTTTGTAATATTTTAATTTTTTTTATACAACCACACTTATATTATTATAATTTCAAGTTTTCTTGCTATTATTGTGATCCAAAGGAATAAATAAAATGTATTTTTACATTCACTAAAAATATTTAGTTTTGGTATTATTTAACTTCGGTGTGACACTAAAACTAAATATCAAATTATTTCATTTACAGGAGTTGGAATTATGGAATAACAATGATTGTAATACAATTTACGTTAAAGTTGTACACAAATCGGTAGGAAATTAGGCTAAAAACTTTACCATTTAATTTCCTATAAGCAGAGATCGTAAATAATGATTATCTGTATTTTTCTCAAAAAAAAAAAAAAAACATCACAGATTTGAAGTGATTTCTTATATCACATTTTTTATAATTTTGCTTTGCTGCTAATAATTATTTTTAGAGCTTGGGAAGAGTAATTTTTTTGTGGAAAAAAATAAAAATAAAATAAAATTTGCTCAGCAAGTAAGCATTACATTTTAAGCATTGTTTTTCCGCTTAAAATATCGCTAAAACCTTTTATCGAATTTTTCGGAAATATTGATCACAGCACAATTCAAAAGTTCAAAATAAACGATCCATTTTGAAATACCACCAAACAAGCACCAACAATTTTTTTTTTTGAGAATATCGACCTTTGAAGTGGTTTGAGCTTGCTATCCCACTAACAAGTTTGTTTTAGAAATTAATCACATCTTTTACACGCTTACTTTTTGCAATGCACCATCATCGGCTTCAAGACGCTTTCCAGAACGTGATCGAAAACTGCCTGAACGATCAACACATCTTCTTCGTACATCCTTTTCGTATCCTTTCGGTGGTAAAACATTAAAATATACAAAAAATACTTTTTACTATCCTCTATATTCGACACCAAGCAAACATGATTGCAAAAAAATTTCACTTAATAAAAATGTTTAAACATAGATGTTCAATACTATATAACGGTAAAGCGGTGAGTGCTAACCCAGCAAGAAGGTTTCCGGTGCTAACATATGACAGGAATGCATGATGTCATACTCTGACATCTCGTAGAACGATTTTCCTATCACTTTCTTAATGCCGTAATGACAAATGTGATGTTTGCATTTGTATACGTGTACGTCATTCTCTTTTCGTTTCCTCGTCCATTTTGGTCATTCTTGTAGTACTAGCCGGACACAGGTGAGCGACAGCATTGATGTCGAAGGAAATCAGCTTTGAAAAAAATCTTCCCTACATATTTTACATACATACAAACATTATTAGGATTCAGTCCTGATTCCAATATTTTTACATAGCAATATATTCATTTTCAAAAATCTGCAAAAAATTGTAAGCAAAACTGCATATATAGAAGTCTTGAAAAGTGCCACTTGTTGGTGGCACAGCTCCTCAGCTCTATGAACCCGTCCGTCATATACGCGGCTTTTTTGAAGTATAAATACGTCTAAGTAAAATAAAAAAATTTTGACATATTAATGTCTAAATGCAGTTGCACCTCGCAAATAAATAAATTTCAGTATCTTTTAAATGTTAGATGCTCCATATGTGATAGTGTTTTTTTAGTTTCTTAAAACGAAGACACAATTTTTCAATAGAAATGTAGAATTCATATTTGGAAAGAACTGTAAACAATTCTCAGTAATTAATTTTTTTTTTAAGTGTAACAACAATTTTTTCACAACGATGCAGCTACTTGTTCCGGTTCTTTTTCAACCATTTCCCTTTGACAGATCTAGGCGAATTTATAATTATCAGTGCTGAAAAAAACGGATTAGGATTTTAGCTATAGTAGAATTTTTAAACAATTTGCACTGTTCAGATCAAGATTTATATGATTTTATAAATATTTGGCAGAAGACTATAAATTAATTGTTAGTCACAAAGTCAACTTAATAAATAAATTGTTGTATCCAAGTGGTAATAATGTGATTAAATAACCACAATAAATGGTGGCAGCAACGTTTTTCGACGTCCCATTCACAATAATCAATTGAGAAACTTATCGATTTAGAATTAGCAATTATTTCGTGTAGTGCGCATTTTGTAAATGTTATTAATTTTTTTTGCAAAGTTTGTGATTTTTCAAAAGCCATCTAGTGGTAATTAATATATACCTTCGTAAGCTTCAAAGTTTCAATGAAGTTTTACCGAGATTTCGGGTTTAAGGGGCAGTTTTCAGCATGTTGCGCTTTTGCTTTAATTTCTAAATAAAAGCCTTGAAAAATTTGCAATTGCAAAATATTAGGAGGTGGAGCATAAGTCTACCTCAATCAACCAACATCAATACGAGGACCATAGAATAATCGAAGAATGAATTGTGATAAAACAACTTCGAAAACGAAGGCCAGTAAATAAAAGTAGGTAAGTGGAACGCAAATTTCGTTAGTGCTACCGTTTTGTTACAAAATGTTCTAGCCTTTTCAAATCGGCTTAATATCTGGTTTGAATTTTTTCGCAAGTTGAGTAAACCCCCAATGTAGGAAACGGATAAACAACTTTTCCCAACAATTTCTTGCGTTGATAACTTTTTGAAAATTCATTTAGTTCACAAGGCGACGTATTCGAGTAGATTGATTTTAAACCTGTCCATAACCAGTTGATTTTTGAGGGCATGCAAAAAGGTGGTTGGTCACATTGCATGAAAAACACACGTTAAGTTTGTCGTGGTCAAGACTAGACAAGGATTTACGTAGATTGCAATATTCAGACATTAATTCTTCCAGTACCATTCCGATCTTTCGGAGCAGCTCTAACTCTTTATATGCTATTGGCTTTATGCTCCTTAACTGAAAGCAGAAAGCAGAGAGGTTTCATTTTGCACAATGAAATAATAAGATTTCCACCATGGTAATAGCGTAGTTGGCGAATCTAAAAGGCAAATAAAACACCGAAAAACACTTGTAATAAGAGACCACGTTTCAATCAAAGAATCTTGGAGGTAATGTGCTCTTTATACAAGATATTTATAATTTTATATAAAAGTATATGTCTGCATTTATATAGAGTTTTCTTATATTGGTTTTTTTTTTTTTTTTTTTTTTTTGCAATCTTGAAAAAATTTTCCTTACTTTTGTACTTTTCGTATGTGAAAGTAGGAACTTAACATTTCTGTAGGTGGTGGTTAAGAAGTTAAAAAAGTGGCAGCGCCGGCAAACTTGTCGTGCAACCCTGAGCAGAAAATTACCTTCGACGCCGATGGCAGAGCAGAATGTACAAAGACTTCGGCTATTTTGTGTGTTAAATATTTGGTTGTAACTTATTATAATTTTTGTGCATTTTGGACGATCTTTATGCTACATCTGCATATTAAAATTGTTTATAATTTTTAAATGAACTTAAAGAGTAAAGTTGAAGGAAATATCAGCACATTTTAATCGCAGCTAAAAATTTCTCATGTGGACAGGTTAGTGCGAAAAATAAAGTGAAAAGAGTGTTTAAAAATAACCTAAGGATACATATACATAGAATTTTTTACAGTAGGTTGGAGTAGTGGAGGCTGTTGATTGGTATTAAGAAGTATGCATTCATTCGATACAACTAAGTGTATATAAGTTTTTTGGTTTCATTTTTTTTATTAATTTTTTTTTTTTTTTTTTTTTATCTGATACGGCCTCGTCACAGGGGCCCATTGCAACAAAACCTTGAGGTGAATACAAGAACAAGGAGAATGCTTTGTATTGCTACCTCTGCTAAATTTTCATACATACACGTATGTATATATGTAGTACGAATTGTTCAATTACTTCAGATATGTATGTAAATATTTTTTTTAAACAATTCTTTTGAAACAATGAAATGTTTGGACGTTTTGTAAATTAATTAAGTATGTAATAAAAATGTTATTTGCATTAGGACGTTTGATTGAGACTTTGTATTCAGCATAGAAAATTTACGTACATATCTTGCATAACTTGCAATAATTTAATAATCCAGAAGTAGTAGTACGTCCTTAATGCAATCGTTTTCTATACAGTGTAGGGATTTATGCTCAACCGACTAATATATGTATGTGCAATGTACATATATACCTGGATATTCATATGCACATACTATATTATAATCTGTGAATTTATTTTTTCCTAATATACGTTTGCCCTGTCGTAAAGGAAAGTTAAGTATTTATTAAAGTAGGTGTGTTGTAGAGTAATTTATGTGTATCTAGAGAAATGAGAGGCAGATCCTGAAATATTAAGTATACATTTTTTTACCACTCAACTGATTAATAAATAAATACATCTTGACAGCCTTCAATATATATGAGAGTAATTAGAAATGCAGAGTAGATACCTACTCCACAAATTTTCTGCAAGTTTAATGTGGTGTATGGTTACTATTAAGACTTGAAAAAGTGTGCGGCAGTGCGTTGCAAAACGGGAAAACTTCGGAACAATCAAAGTTAAAAGGCATTGCCATTTAATAGCTATTGAGGAGGAACTATTACTATGACCCCGGTGTGTTTTCAGGTGCAATTTGTGGTGAGCTTCCTGAGGGTTTTTTTTTCAAGAAATTCAGTTGCACAGCCGCCTCCGGATAGGTAATGGATATTTATGAAGCAATTTTTATTTCATGTCACATTATTTGCATCATTGAGCGATCTTTATTATATTTTTTTGTATAATTTTGGACGTCTGTCTGGGCAAGCTTTCAACCCTTTCGATTGGTAGGACACACTGCCAACGTTCTTGAAAATTAAACGCTCTTGAGAAAGTTAATATTCAATCGAAACTAAAACTTAAAACAAACTTTTTTTTTCAAATATGGTTATGTATATAGTTAGTTTTGCCTTACAATTAATGAGATGAACGTGTTGATTTCTCAGCATATTCCAATAGTGTATGCTCGGTTAAAAATCATTGATCCTATTATCGCCATATTCTGGGTATCTACAAATGTATGTAGATACATATATGTATATATTTATCAAAATTTTCAATAATATTATTTGACATTTCTGTTTTCACTTCCAATTTTGGATTTCGCCTTTGCTCATTTTCGCTTTCAAGAACTGGCTCAACTTGTTGCACAATCTCACTCATATAGAAAGCGTGATACCAACATTCAATGGCTAAAATGAATGAGGGTGGTGCGGCGGCGAAATATTTGTTTGTTTGTTTATACCATTGTCGGCTGAATTTGTATTAATTATATGGTTGGCAATGTCGTTACACCCGTTGACTTTTGATATTAGTATAATAATTGTGAATGCATGTTTGTATGTATATTCATATAGATGTATATGTACGTACATAGCTATGCGTAGTATGAATATTGTATGCAGGTTTATTTCAAATCATTTCAATTCTAACTATAGCTTTAAACGTTTGAAACGCAAACTTGTACTACATAAAGATACTCATTCTATTGCTTTACTTAATTAACATATTTTTTACATTAACACAATTTTCTTGCCTCACAATTTCGTAGTTATTTATTTAGTATCTAACTTTTGCGCTTAATTATAGAACAAGTTTGTTTTTTTAGCCATTCCACAATATGCTTCTGCGAATCGTATCGAAATGTAAATTTTTATTGTATATGGGATATATTATTAAATATGAAGTTTTACTTTTCATAATGTTATAGGACAGAGAAATACATACATACATATGTCTAAATATAAAAAAGTCAATTGTATTCAGGCTGCAAAGCTGATATCTTTTATGGACATATCGTTATCTATACCTACTTGAAATACATATTAGCCACTCAGATTTTGTTTAAAATTAACAAATCATGAAAAGCTGTAATGATGGAACATTAATTGGATTGATTATTTTTCGAACTGCCCTGGCAAATTTCAGAAATCTAGCCTAAAATTAGAATTTGATTTAATCACACTATTCATATCAGATTATTGAAAACTCTTAATTCCATTAATAACTATTTTAATATATTTCCTGGTTCATGCAAGCCAGCTTTAGGAAATAGGTGAAGCGGGTAATGCTTGTATTTTTGTGCAAAATTCATTTTCCCGTATTTATAAAAGCTGTGAAAATTGCTAGTAAGCGATGTGCACTTTCAAATGTGCTTCAGTTTAGCATTTGTTTTGCGTATAAATACATACACACACACATACATACATACATATGATTTTTAAGTGTATGGTCGATCTAATAGCTGACTATAAATAGTATAAATATAAAGAATAGAAACATTATAAACTTACTATTCAAATATAGTGCACATTAAAAAATCAGCATATCAATACAATTATTTGTGCGAATGGGTGCATTAAGGTTATCAGTTGCAACAATTGCTTGTAAGTGTATTTTAGTAAGCTCTTGTGTGAGTATATATTCAATTCTAAAGTGTATAGTTTTGGAAATGGTGTTGTCCTGGGATTTTATTATTATATCTTTTATAATATTATAAAGCATATTTTTATGCAAAATTATTGTTGGCTGTAAATTTGTTTCTACATTTTTTAAAACCAAAAATATTCTTTTTTAAAAATTACTTAAGCAGCCAAAGTAATAGTTACTTCTTTTGTTGTATGGAGAATTTAGCGAGAATGCAGGTATTCACTTTCAATACAATGGAATGTTTCTGCGACAGGTGCCAGCGCTCTATTGAAATAAAAATGCTCTTGTCATATCAACTGTCGACCGAGCAAATAAATAAACACAAACACATAAATACAAACATAGATAAAAGAATATGATTACCAGTTAATCTTTTTTTTTTTAGTATTTAAATAAATAAATAAACACTGTAAAACATTAAGTACTAAATAGATTAAAATATAGTGCGTAGAAATTATGTAAATACAAAATATAGATACATACATACACACATATTTGCTTAACAATTTTACCTTTTCTTAATTTTTAAAACCTTTAACTTTATTAATCAAATAGCTGACCCGTAAGCGTTGAACTTGCGTGGAACTTTGCTTTTTGAAAGGAAAAGAAAGTTGTATTTATGTATATTGTGTTCAAAATCATTTTTTTTTTTCGATTTGTCTATATTTTTGTCAAATGTAACGCAGCTTGAAAAACAAACTTTTTCTTTGTTTTCTGTTCTGATGCGTAAATCTACAGAGTCTTCTCCCAACTCCTGAACACGCCACGTAGAGCTGGCCGTGTGTCTGTCCTTGTGACCTATCGATTGTTGCATTGAAAATCTTTCACTAACCAGCTGTTTTTGTTTTTCTGCTGTTTTTTTCTTTCTGATAGACTTAAAAATAAATTTAAAAAATTAAAAAAAAAGAATATAAAAAAAAATAAAAATAAAAATTAAACAAAAATTAAAAAAAAAATTTAAAAAAAATTAAAAAAAATTTAAAAAAAAATTAAAAAAAATTTAAAAAAAAAATTTAAAAAAAAATTAAAAAAAAAAAAATTTACAAAAATTAAAAAAATTTATTTTTAAAGAATTTTAAAAAATTTAAAAAAATTTGAAAGAAAATAAAAATAATTAGAAATAATTCAATAAAATTTAAAAAATTTAAATAAAATTTAAAAAATTTAAATAAAATTGAAAAAGTGTGCGGCAGTGCGTTGCAAAACGGGAAAACTTCGGAACAATCAAAGTTAAAAGGCATTGCCATTTAATAGCTATTGAGGAGGAACTATTACT